ACAATGTAGCCACAGCTGCCCAGGGGTGCACTGACAGAGGTGAGGCTGTCGAGCACTGGCGCCACCACCAGGCAAGGGGGGTTAAGTGCGTTGCCCAATTACACAGCGACAGACTGAGCAGGGCTTGAACCTGCAACCTTCTAAAGACGGGGCGAGCGCTTAACCCCTGTGCCACTGTCGCCCCACCAACTTAAGTTAAAGGAGCCAGATCATGCTGTTTTAAATCCTTGAGAGCAAAGGTAGGCACACTCTATGATAAAATATTACCAGTGGCACTATAGAGATGTCATTTATGCTAAATATGAGTTATTTTTGTCAATTTGATTTTATAGTTGGAAATGAAGCAGTCTGTTTCAGTGGAGTTCTAACAACACACACCTTCAACAGCGTCTTAGGTGAGATAATCATTGCATTGGCTATGGTGGCCTATGGCTTCAAGCATCTGCCCGTCATCTTCTTTTGCCATGTGCTGGCACCAGTTTGACTCCTGAGAAATGTATTTAGCCAGCTGAAGCAGATTTCAATTTTTAACTATTTTAGTTTTATTGATTATTTTCTGCTAAACATTTTGTGCCTCTGAAGATCTCTGAATTTGGTCATTACCAGCAACATTTTAGTTGATTTGGACTCAGATTGGCTAAATAAACAAAAAAATAATAATAAACAACAGCAGTTTAGTCCTTATATTTTAAACAGATTACCAATAAAGGGCTGAAAACATCATCCGGACAAGTGTAGCTTAAAAAAAGAAAGAAAAAAGTTACTACCGTGACTAGGAGTCACACCGGTCAGCCAGTTACTCTAACCACTAGGCTACCGAGTTAGTCACTAACCAGTTTCCTAACAAACATATCCTGTGCTTGGGGTGACCCGATCCCAACTCACTAAATGTGGGGCAAAGTAAAATTCCAATGCAATGATATAATTAAAAAAGTTAAAAAACAAAAAAAAAAACTTCTATTCTGCATTTTAGCTCTAACCATGGATGTAGTTTTGATTTTAGAAGTGTCTCTCTGTGTGTGTGTGTGTGTGTGGGGGGGGGGTCAACCGGCATGAGGACCGGTGTCGGTACAGGATCTGCTCGGGTGCAGGATCGGATCGGGGTCCTTCGACTGCCGATGACGTCACATGTCAGCAAATCTACTCGGCTTTCACACATACGTTTTGGAAAGACATCAGCAGTTTTGTTAATAAATTCTTGTTTGTTAACACCTAAATGTTTTCTTTATAATTGTAATTTGTTAATAAAACACCATATTATCTTTGTTTTGTAAAGAATGTGAAACTACATAAAACCAACATCGGACTGACAATAACTAGAACAGTTCTTATGTGTAAAGCCATATATGTTTGTATTAATGTGGAGTTCGTCTGTATATTTCCTTAGTTGTTATCTAAATACATTCTTTGACTCAAAATATTGCTTGGTGTCTTTCAATAAAGTTCTTATATTTTATTTTGCCCCATTTCATCAACATCAAGAGCTTTTGAGGGTCACCGTTTATCATTTGCTTATATTTTACATTTCCTTTAGAAATTCAAACATATTTTCTCCAAAAAGTGTTGATTTTTAGACTACAGGACTACAACCGCTAAGACTACGACCTCTAATTTGTTCTGACCAATCAAAATCATAACGTGGTAACATAACTTTCGTAAGCTTCATGTTCAGCCAATCAACTACTTTGACGTCATCGACAGTCGAAGGACCCCGAGCCGATCCTGCACCCGAGCAGATCCTGTACTGACACTGGGAGGGGGGTCTTTACAGTAAGTATACAAAAATGTATATAAAATATGCATAAAACTACAGCCTAGAGGTTCTTTATTGCAACACCTTAGGCAGGAACGGCCAATCACACGTTAGCAAGTATCAGCAGAGCCAATAGATGAGCTTATGGACGGTTCTAATGGGAAACAGGCTCAACACAAGCGGTTTTTTTTCAGCTTGGCCCTAGTGCTCAGCCAGTGTCACATTACGTGCAGCTTTTTAGACAGGACACATGGTTTTAAAGCTGTGGAAGTTTAAAACTCATCTGCAACACGAAGGTCACAATCTCAACTGCAGCCCACAACTCGGAGAAAGTGGACATTAGTGACCTAGTTCCAGTGGAGGCAGGTTCCACGTCCGAGACGATCTTCAGGGGAAGGAGCAATGCCTGATGATACACTTGTGTTTGCAGGTTTCAGCACAGAATCTGGAAAATTGCCCTTGAGACAGGAAAATGCATGAATGCAGCCAAAAATGGGTTTAGCGGAAAGAACAATATCACATGGTGGATTTTTCATGATATGGCCCCATTAGAGGATGGATAATAGGTGAGAAACAAGCGGCTTGTTACCATGGTGACCATAATGAGCACACATGGTTAACATGGAGATTCTAATGAGCCACAGGTGATTACCATGGTAACTCCCATGAGCCACTGGCAGATGCTTCACCATTTCTGTTGAAATAAACAAGAATTTAATGAAGTTTAGAAATGAGAATGTTGAATGTTTATTAGATTATCACACAGTTGATGTTTCTGAGCCGTAGCTGCAACCCCAGCCCTAAACGTCCTCGGAAAAGTTTTAAAAAGGTTCTTGCTTAAAACGTTTAAAGCAACAAAATAATTTTTAGCATATTAGATCGCTTTTTATTTAGTTTACTTCTAAGGTTCAATCCCATGCACTTTAGGCAAAGTTGTATATTTATTGGTGTGTGTGTGAGTGTGTGTGAGTGTGTGTGAGTGTGTGTGTGTGTGTGTGTGTGTGTGTGTGTGTGTGTGTGTGTGTGTGTGTAAAATGCTAAACTTAATTTTTTATGTGGTGAAACATTTACGACACTTAGATCCTGATCGTATTAACTAAGATTCTACTAATCTGATTTATTTTCAATCCCAATCATTTCTGCTTTGTTGACAGAAATGATAAAAATTGAGACCGAATGTTCTGGTTTCAAAAAAAGTAAAATTGTCTAAAAGCAGCTTTTCACTTCTGTGGTTCCCGACTAAAGTGGAATGGAAGAAAACTGAAAGTTTGTGTGTTTGCTCCTCATGTGGAACTAAGAAAGGATTAAGTGAGAAAAGTCCAGTTTTCCCTCCAGGAAGAAGCCTTTCTCACCGACAAAATTCTGGATGCAAATTCAATCTCAGATTTGGTTTCAGGCAGAAACTTTGTTCCTTCTTTTAAGAAGTGTTGCTTTTGGACTTGTTGAAGCTTAAATGAAGACATGACGATGAATACAGAAGTGAGAGCTGCACGCCGAAAGTTGCAGAGTCAGATTTCACTTTTCAGGCGCTGGTTTCAGGCTCAATGGGATGTGCAGCCAAGGTGGCTTCCTCTGGATTCTGAAAACATATCCCCTACCATTATTTGTTTCTTTGGCTTTCAAATGCACAATTGTATACATACACACATGCACACCAGGTTACACACCTACACATGCAACATGAGAGACAAGAGTGTTGATCATGTGCAGCGCGGTGCTGTCCCCACTCAGAACCATGGAGGAAGAATTCACGGAGGCTTCCCTTGCTTCCTACTTGTAGCAGCCAGGTGTCTGATGAAACTGCAGGTAATTCTGCTAAAACTTCAGCACCAACAGTAACTTCCCACCCACAGATCACCACATTTTTCTGTTTTAGGACACAGTTTGTGTCATCAAAGTTCAAACTTCAAAATGAGAAGATGGATGGGCTTACTTCCACAGACTGTGATGTCGGTGCGTTCTGCTTTGTGGTAAAAAACATCACAAACATCACAAACATCTCACAAACGATCTGTTGGATCTGAGACATGACCTAGGGCATGCCCTTGTTTTGTATCTGTCCAGTATAAAAGTAGACGGGAAAGCTCGTTCTTTCCACAATCATTCTAGGTTCTCATGTAACACACACAGATCTTGACAAATTCCCATGTATGATCCACAGCTGTCAGATGATGTCAGATGCTGAGTCACTTTTTAGAGACCATCCAAAGAGTCCAATTTCATCTTTGTGCGTTTATTCGTTTCTCAGCTTTTTTACACATTAAATAAAGTTTAATTTGTCAAATTGTATTATTATTTAGAAGTTTTATAAGAAAATAAACTTGTTTTATTCTTTTCAGAACAGAAAAAATCTCAAGTAGAAAAAAATTTGAAACATTAATGTAGAACAAGACCAACCCAACCCAACCCACACACACACACACACACACACACACACACACACACACACACACACACACACACACACACACACACACACACACGCACGCACGCACGCACACACACAGCATTTGTCCATGCAGAGCTCTCTGAGTCAGCACCAGGATCTTGAAGATCACACGATAATGTAAAGCTGCATCTGTCATGGCTCCCAGGCTGCCACCCTCCTCTGCCTCAACTGCCTCCTCAATCAAGCCCTCAGCCACTTAATTATCATCACCTGCACCCTGTCATCAGCTCATGCCACACACCTGCCTTCTCTGCTCTATAAGACCCAGCCTGCTCTCCAACCGGTGCTAGATTATTGAATGCTTTTGCCATTAAATCTTCCTTCCTTCCTTCCTTCCTGCCTGCCTGCCTGCCTGCCTGCCTGCCTTCCTTCCTTCCTTCCTTCCTTCCTTCCTTCTTGCCTGCCTGCCTGATCACAGTCCTTTGACTTTGTTTCCACGCCTTGACCATCACCAAGAACTCTGCCATCACGACCCTAGCCTGTCTATGACCATGTCTCCAGTCTGCTCCCTATACTTGCTTAGTTCCGATGTGGTTTCGACCCACGCCTGCCTTCGACTCTGCCCTTACCTGAGTTTTCTCCGGTAATGTCGCCTATTAGCGTCTTGCTAATAAAGACTTTCAAAGTGCCTTACTGTGTCTTGGTGTCCTCAAGGGTCCTCATGTTCCGCCCGTTACAGCATCAGTGAAATTGGTTTGTTTTGAATTGGACTTTATGAAATAAGATTACATTTTGAATTTAAATTTATTATTTAAATAAGACAAATAAATTTAAAAGGATGAAATGTAAAACATTTTAAAACAAATAATTATATTTCATTAAACAAGTCAGTTTAATTTATTCATAGCCAATTCATGACAAAACTCGGTGTTTTCCACAAATGTTAAAGTATAATTTATATTAAATGACATTTAATCCAGTTAAATCTGGAGTCTAAGACGTTTTCACTGGAATTTCCTGTTTTCATAGGTTTTCCTCCATAAATAAATTTGTCTTTTCTCCGCTCAGCTGCAGATCTGCATCTCAGAGCTGAAAATGACAGAAAAATGTAAGCATTGTTTTATTTCATCTACCAGTTTAATCAGGTAAATTTCCTTGATTTGTTTACATCTGCAACAACAGACAGGAAATAAAAGCACGGTTATTAAAAGATCCAAGGAAGACCCTCTGTGACCTTGTTCAGCTAAAATAAAAACATTATTACACGTCTTAATTGTTCTTACCTTTGTGTTCACAACTGGGAACAAAACTCTGGGGAAAAAGGATAAAATATCTATAATAAATACGAAAGCATTTTTACTCTCAGGCGATTTTCTTCTTCCGTCCAAACCTTTCTCCTGAGGAAGTCTGACGCTCTCCGTCATCTTATGGCAAGCAGAGTTGCGTAGAAATGCTGTTAGCATCTCAGGAGGGACATCCTTTTGTCGAGCTTGAAAGAGAAACAAGTTCTACATAAATTTTATGGAAGCAAACTATTTAAAGAGTTTATTTGAGCTTCACGCATCGCGCAGATGAGGGTTGGAACCAGACCAGGGCAGACGATGCTCCGAACCACCAATCCAGTTCTCCTCCATCCCATCATAACTCAGGAACAAAACTCTTCTTGAGGAATTTTCAACATTTTCTTTTTAACTCACTAAAAATATTAAAACTTGGCTTCAGACTACTGACATGTGTCCCATTAGGTGTTAGTGATGCGCGCTCACAGTCGTTATCAGGTCACATGACCCAACATGCAGAATTTCAGACCTGTTTGATTTATTCACTCTGTTCCCAACAAGATAGATTCAAACCGAGAATTGTGGGTAAAATCTGACAAAAAACATTCTATGTGCCCTTTTTTAAAGCAAATCTGAAAAATGACACTGACCACAAAAGAGATAAATGGCAATAAATAATAAATGATCTAGATAAGAGAGAGACCCAACCGTCATCCAAAAACTCTCCCGAGACTTAATTTTACCTCCACTGTGAGATTATTGATATTTTTAGTCACCGTTAGCTTTGTAGAGGTTATAATCTGTTTAACTGGCTGATGCTGCCTAACCGTAGAGCATGAATCTGTTGAGCGAGTCCTCTGAGTCCGTCTCCCTCAGCGGTGGCTCTATCTCCTGGAAAATGATGCAGTCAAGGCAGTTGGCCCACACTCCACTCCAGAGCAGGTTTCTACGCTGGGGCCTACCTAGAATAAAACCATCAGAGAAGACACCAGTAAGCCTAGACTTAGATGGATTTGATTTCGTTATTTTTATTCCATTTAAATAAAAAATGCTTTCCCTTGTTTGTATTACAATAAAACCCTATTTTTAACTCCAGTGTCTTCATGGGTTTGTCTACAGGTGGTTTGAAGGTGAACGAGTCATCAAACAAGACATCCAGATGTGTGAACCAGCTCTCTTTTATCACCCCTACAGAGGGATTTGTTACTGGTCACTTCCTTGAATCAGCTTGGCTTCATCTGCATTGAGAACAAGTTTTAGATTAAGGAAACACACATCCACCTGGCTGGTGGCTCCACTCGCTTGGGAGATTTTCAGTCGTTCTTTCACCGAGACCCCTTTGTTCCTGTTTAGACTCAAATTGGCCAACTCAATGCATTTCTCTGAACAGAGGCTGTTCAGAAGCTGTCAATAAACAGATGAGATAAGTATACTTTACAAAATGGAAAATCACCTCAGAATGGCCAGAAAGTCCCTTTAAATTAGGGTTTTAGATCCCTCACAAATGTTAGATGAACTTTGGCTAAATAAGCTGTAAAAATCTTGAGAAAGTAAAGCCAATATATTAATTAATATTTGGATCATAAGATCTTTTCAAAACAGCGGGGTCAAACATGGGACCCTGTGGTGCTCCACATTGTCATCCACTAAAATTATAATCTTGCTATGAGATAAAGCCACTACAACAAATCCATTAAGATGCTCAAGACACTTATTATAATTTAGGTTGGAACTAAATTCATTTAAATATTGACAATATTCACTTTATTCAAGTTTTCATGTTGACAACGTAAAATAATTTCTGAGGTTTTCCCAAAAACCTCAGAGTATAGTTCTGGAGAATGAAATGTTATTTTGCTGTTGGGTAGTTTTTCTCTAACACATGTACAGACAAAACCCATCCCAAAATAAAGTTTTAGCTCTCAGAAAGACAAATATTCATCTGTTTTTCCCCTTTCTGGTGGTTTGTGGAAACAGGTGGCACCAAGCTGATCAGACTTAGCCTCAATATTGCTGTAATTGTGTGTGTGTGTGTGTGTGTGTGTGTGTGTGTGTGTGTGTGTGTGTGTGTGTGTGTGTGTGTGTGTGTGTGTGTGTGTGTGTGTGTGTGTACTAGTAAGCGCTGTTATTGTTATTCCAACCAGAACTAGGTTTGCAGATTTGTCATTGGCCAGAAAACCTCTAGACAACCGCGGCTGCATTGTTCCTACGTGTACATTTTCCTTTTTGTGTTGTCCTTGTTTAATAAAACTAAACTACACACCAGTTTTATAATAAAATGTCTCCCATTAAAATGTTTTGTTTTTTTACATTCAACAGAAATGAATGTGTGAGTGGGTTTACTCTGGGAACTTTGGCGTCCCCCGACAGACCAAAAACATGCATGTTAGATTAATTGTTTAGTTTTGGTGTCGGATGAATAAATAAACACAAATGTCCAGTTTTAAACGAGTAAAGGATATTTTTATTCTTTTCTACTATGAAGCAGTTTCCCATAAATGTCAAAGGGACAGACGCATTGTGAGGTTTTTACACAAAGACTTAAATTTGGAGGTGAAACAAGCAAAAAGTGAAATGATTTTTCTTTGGCTGAGAATCAGATCCACACCTGCATCAGGTAGATTACTCTAAAAGATGAATGGTGTTTAATCTGTTGTTTTACCTAATAGCTCCAAATCTCCCCTCTCAGGTTTGATGAGATAGGTCCACATTTGTTTCCTGCAATCTTCTCCTCTATGAAGAAAAAAGTTAAAAATAGAAGTGAAGCTGTTCCAACAAAGATGAGTTCAACTTTCAGTTTTGGAACACGTATATTGTTTAAATTTTAACTTCCTTTAAATGACTTCTTCTGTCCTGGTACCTATTTACAATCCCGGGTTTCTTGTTTTCCTTCTCATGTTTGTTTTCAACAACAATTAAAAGTTTTATTCTTGTCAAAATTCAGCAACACGTCATCTGTGTTGGACATTCAGGGCTCCTGCAGAAATTAGAGGTTATGTTTTATGTTGTGTCATTTCAATTCACTTAATTTTTGGTTAAATTACAAAATGAATTCCATTTAATGTCTAATAATTGACAAGCTATTTAGAGCAAAGCTGTCTATAACTAGTCCTAAACACTGGGTGCCGTGCATTAGCCTGCTAGCTAGATATCTTGAGAACATCCGGGTGGATTTTAATGAAACTCCCAGTTCTGGTGTTTTGTCAATATGAGTCCCCCTGTGGATATCTGTCCCCCCACCTCACCCTACGCAGATGAATTTTATAAAGTATAATTATGCAAAACGTACGTTTTTGGTGATGGGGTGGTTAGGGTTAGAGTGAGGGTTATTTTTTTGTGAGTGGATGATTCCAACTTGCAACTGGATGGAAAATACACAAATCTTGACTGGAGGACTCATTTCGACATAACACCTGTCCACTACTGTCAACAACTGATTATTTCCTGGTGTTAGTCCATTTCAAGATGGCCACTTTAGCTAAGTCAGATTAAAGGGGTACTAGGCAGGATTGCTTGCTTTTAGCACTCTCTAGTGTCTGTTAATAATCCTCTGTGGTTAAACCAAAAATGAAACGTTCCTCTTCGCTGTGCGTTTGTCTTTTTAACACCTTAATCTAACTGCTGAAATCCCTCCCACTTTACAATGGTTTCTAGAGGAGTAATTCATCAATTAAGCAAATCAGCTGTGTTCATGATCTAAAACATGCAGGAAACGAGCTGGAAGCAGACTGCAGCGCCAGGTGTGTCAGCTCCGAGCCACTCCGAAACCCCCCACCCCCACCCCCCCACTCCCAGCCTGTCAACTCTGAAGTTGCAAGTGTAATGTGCCACAGGGAGCAGTGGGGTCTGACTAACATTTCATTACCCTTGTAAAGGGTCATTTTAGCACATACTGGCTCAAGAAAATGATTTCAAAATATGAAAAAATTCCAAAGCATCCCTTTAATGTCTTTGTGTGTTTTTGTGTGAATGTGCCTCCTCACACGCGCATGTTTCCGGTCAGAACCAGGGTGTCGTTGGCCGTTTCCTCCATGATGAACACAGTGCTGTCGAGCGCTTTGAACCTCTGGATGTCAGCTTCTCTGTGGCTGACGGCGGCCTGGAAGAACCATCTTCCCAGGTACTAAAACCGAGAAGCAGAGGTGTCAGCGTGGGGCGAGAACATTAATGGAACACAACGAAGACCTGAGCCCACAGCCTGCTGCAGACCACTTATGGAAACAGCAGAGGGGGAGTGAGAGACCTGAGCCACCACGCACACGGCGAGTTTAACCGTGATGCAACATAAACAGCTGTTGACAGAAATCACACAGCTGGTCCTCTCACCTGCTGACGATCGACTGAGTTCACAAACAGCTGCTCGGGATTCCTGCAGGGAACAAAAACCTGATATAAAAAAGTCAAAAGATACAAGAAATAAGTGCCGGCTTCACTTAACATAACTACTGCGGGGATCAACACCTAGTGATGATCAAATATTCCCTTGGACTGTGTTTAATGTCCCAGCGTGCAGCAGTAATGATTAACTTCTGTCTGCTGCTAATCTCTGGTTTCAGGTGAAATGTGAGGTTTCCTGCAGCGCTGATTTCCCTCTTTCCTATTTACTCTCGCTCTTTCTTTACATTTTTTAATCACAATTGTCTATTTTTTGCTCATTTAAAACATATTTGTAATAATTTCCTAAATTCTTTTTTGTATTTTGCATGTTTTGTTTTTGATGAAGCGCCTCGTGATTTTTATCTTGACAGGCGCTATAAAAAAGATCTTTTCTTCTTCATCTTCAGAGCAAACGCTGAGGTTTGGCATCAAAACTTTGTAAGCTTAATCAAACGATCACCAAGGTGAGGTTTCTTTGTGAAACCCGCCTCGAAAAAGCTCTCTCTGTGTGGATCGCTGTCATGCAGGCGGTTGTGGTTTTCTTCCACCCTCTTCAAATAAACATCATTTAATTATAGACAGTCTGGTTAACTTACATGACTTTGACTTCCGTTTAGAAACTCTACAGAAGCAGAATATTAGTGTTTGCTGTCAGGTTGACTCTGTCAACATGATTTGTTTCTGCTAGGAATCATTAACTTCGGCCCAGCGGTCCTACAAGAAAACCAGCAACAACTTTGTTTCATGGTTTAATAAAACTATCATTTGGTTCTCAAGAAGTTGTTGATTTTGAAATGTATTTATTTCCATAATGTTTGACTAAATTTATGCTTTATTCAGCCCACCAGGCCGGTACCAGGTCAGACCCGTCTTTTACCTTCAGAACCGCCTTAATTCTTCATGTCATGGATCCAAATAACTGAACAATCCTCTGAGGTTCTGCTCCATCCTGACATTGCAGCATCAGCGCAATCCATACAATTTCCCTACAGCCCAAAGGTTCTGGACTGGACTGAGGTCTGATGGAGACAGTTGGAGACCAGTGAACTCGTGGTCATGTTCTAGGAACCAGTTAGAGATCGCTTTATGACATGGTGCTTTATCCTGCTGGAAGTAGCCATAAGAATATGGGTTGGACATGGTCAGTCAACTCAGGTGGAGTTAAGTGGACCAACATAGGACAAGAACACCTCCACCATTACGCCACCAGCTGCAGCCTGAAGCATTGATACCAGGCAGGATGGATCCATAATTTCATGTTGGTAACACTAAATTCTGAAATCCAGACTCATCAGAACCAGCAAAGGTGTTTTCAGTCTCTTTTGGTCCAGTTCTGTGATCCTGTGTGACATTTAGCCTCAGGTTCCTGTTCCTGTGGTGTTCTGCTGCTGGAGTCCATCAGGAGCAGCAGGTGAGCTTCTGCAGAGCTTGGTAGGATCTAGAGCTGATCTGAGCTGCTGTCATAGATCCAGTCTGACCAGTATGTGGGTTCAAATCCCAGTAGATCAGCATAAACAACAATGCCATGTTAATTCCCTTAAATCTCCAATCCATGATGCTCAGTGTGATCTTCAGCTGTTGCCTGATTAGATAATTGTGGTGAACCCAAAGTTTCTATTGTTTATTGAAAGAAAAAAAACTATTAAATCACATTTTTAATGTTTTCATTTGAAAAAGAGCCTTTTAAATCTTTTATTGATGACATTTATCATAAATCATATTTTTGTAACCTGATTTTGAACTCTTTTCCCAAATCTAACTTTTGTCATGCATCCTCATAGGTTAGATTTCTAAATAGGTTTACAAAAAAACCTCTGGTGTTTAATACAAACTGTTAACAATATAATAAAAATGATTAATTGGCTGCAGAAATTCAGCCCTTATTGCACATCTGCATGTGTTAACACATAGTGACATCACAATCACATTAGGTGGTGTTTAAAACTTGAGCTGTAGAAAGTCACCTTATGAACTGTTAAATAAATTATGTGATGCATTTCAGGGTCTGTGTATGCTGCCTGGTCAAAAACAAGTCTCCATAATGCAAATGTCTCCAGTGGTTGGTTTGAGCTTACACAACTTGTTAAATCGGTTTGATTTCCTGAGCAGCTTCTGGAGCACACAATGATTGTTGCTCTCTAATTAGTCCACTGGGTGGCGACAAAACAACTCTCATACCCCGAGTTTCCTGTTTGGATTTAATATTTAAATGTTTTGGGGTAATACTCTTTATAATTTGAAGTAAGTTTAATAGTTTTGAGATTTGCATCACGTTTATCTTCAACATGTAGCTTCACCTCATGAAAAATTCTTAGCCGATCTATGTTCTAAGTTTGTTTTATTTCTCAAGGAAACTGAAAAGACGGAACTTTCTTCTACATTTAATTTGTTAAATGATTGAGAAAAGCAAAAGGAAGCATCTTGATGTTTTTTTTATTTACTCATGTTTTCGTGGAACAGGTGCCATAACAGAGGAAACACTTTTAACCCAAACATATCTGAAGAATGAGGATAAGAAAACAGAAGAGGAAAATCTGACCTAGAGTCAGCGGTTCCCAGTTTTATTTAATCAACAAATTGTTCCTGACACGTGACTTTCATGAATGAGCTAAACTACAACAATCAAAATAAAAACCAAGAGTGATTTTTATTCTCTGCAGCTCCATGTTCTAATCTGATAGTGATGTTTTGTTTGTTTGTGTCCCTTCCTGACCCCTCTTTAGATAAGATGCTGCCTGTTCCTGTCTGGATCCATCTACGACTCCCCCTTCAGCACTGCTGCCAGCTCCCCGCTCTCCTTCAGCTCCTTGACTATGTCCAAGCCTCCGATCAGCTCCCCTTTCACATACAGCTGGGGATAAGTGGGCCAGTTGGAGTAAGTCTTGAGCCCCTGACGGACCTCTTCATCCTGCAGGATATCAAAGGTGTCATAGTCCACCCCAGAGGCGTTTAAAATCTCCAGGATCTGCCTGCTGAAGCCGCACTTTGCAGCCTCCTTGTTGCCCTTCATGAACAGCATTACTGGACTCTGGTTGATGATGGTCTTCAGACGGTGATCCAAGTTCACGGCCTTGGGGCAGGCGTTCTCCAGCTCCCCTGACTCCGCCAGCTCCTTCACGATGTCCAGTCCCCCCACTAGCTCCCCGTTCACGTACAGCTGCGGGTATGTGGGCCAGTTGGAGTAGGTCTTCAGGCCCTGCCGGACCTCTTCATCGGACAGGATGTCGAAACTGCTGAACTGGATGCTGTGCTCCTTCAGCAGCGCCACTATCTGCCGGCTGAAGCCGCAGCGGGGCTCCTGTGGGGCGCCCTTCATGAACAGCATGCAGGGGGCCGCGTTAATCAGCTTCTTTAGCCGCTGGTTCAGGTCCTCTCCTCCCGATGACTCATTCGGGCTCCCGGCCACCGCCAACCTTTGAACCATCTTGGTCAACTCCGCCGCATGCGCCCCGTCCAGTCGGTCCACTTTCTCTCCCGCCTTAAAGAAAACGACCGTTGGCACCGAGGAGATTTCATACTTCTCCGAAACCTCCGGGAGCGTCTCCGCTTCTAGCTTCACGAACGTGGTGTGCGCGTGCTCCTTGGCCAGCACGGTCATCACCTCGTTCATCTGGCCGCACTGAGGAGCCCATGGAGCGTAGAAGTGGACCACGGTCAGTCGTTTTCCAGCTTTAGAGAGGATATCCTCAAACTGTTGTTGACTTGTCGCTTCCACGAGATTCGCCATCTTTTCTTCTCCTTGAGCTTTTTCCGCTGCCGATCTGACGTCACTTCCGTGTAGCCTAGTAGCACGAACCGGAGGTAAGAACTACCGGAAAGTTTTCTGTTATCGGGAGATAAAAACCAGCTGCGCGTCCCGGATAAGTTGCAACGACAAAGTAAGCATTAAATGAAACATCGTTTTGTAAATCCAACTTTCCAAATGTTTTTCTTTTCTTGTTACGCTCAGTTGCTTTAGCACGAGCTTAGCCATTTGACCAGTTAGCCGTATATATGCCGATGGTTGAAACTCAGATATTTCCAGGTTTATTGGCTCTTAGTCGTAACTCACTACTCCTAAACGTTAGACGTGTTGTTTGTTTAGTCGGGATTAAAATGCAAGAGGAATTTAGTGCAAGAGCTACGTTGTTCTGGTGTCTAGTTGTCGGGATGTAGCTTCGGTTGCTAAGGGGCTACCGTTAGCCTTTTAGGTTGTTGGTAAACATCTGTACATGACTTAAAATATTAATTGAACAGACTGTAAAACAAATTTCTGTATTCACATGTGAATTTTTCTAACTTTATGCTCAGCTTGTAATATTTTAGTGACGCAACAAAAACTCTCCGTAAAATTTTTAAAATGGGGTGTTTTTTAGCCTAGAAATCCAGACCAACCGTAGCAGTAGGGAGAAGTCTCCTCCCTTTCCGGTCAGCTCATGGGTTCCCGGAAAAACGAAAAAATGAATGCAACTCAATGCGGCTAAAAGAGCTATTTTCTAATCCGCTTTGCCTTAGGCCCAGTGTCACACATATGTTGCACTGCAATTTAAACGAAAACTAATAATGGGTGTTTGGACCATGCAAGTGACATACTTTGAGATTTATCAGCTTGTAAAAGTTTGTAATTAGCATAACTACAAATTAGACATCAGCACGTCACATATATGACGTTACCACAGAATCTCTTCTCATCTAGCATAGCTGCTATTTACAAAATGGCCAGATTTATGGTGTTTTTTTTCCTCCCGAAGGAAGGATTTTAAGTTGGCTAAACTTACAGCCATTTCTGTTTTTCTCCGTGGCTGGTTTGATGACGTCACTTTCGTGAAGCGCATTGTAAATGATAAATGACCCGCACTTGTATAGCACCTCTCAGAGTATGGACTCCAAAGCGCTTTACACTACAGTGTATCATTCATCCATTCACACACATTCACACACTGATGGTGATGAGCTACAATGTAGCCACAGCTGCCCTGGGGGGGGGGGGGGGGGGGGCGCACTGACAGAGGCGAGGCTGCCAAGCACAGGCGTCACCGGTCCTTCTGACCACCACCAGCAGGCAAGGTGGGTTAAGTGTCTTGCCCAAGGAATTCTCTGTTGGAGCCGGGATCGAACCTGCAACCTTCCGATTACTGGACAACCCACTCAACCTGTGGAGCTACTGCTGCCCCAATACTGTAGTCCTTATTTTCACACAAAACCTAAGTTTTTTATTTAAAGTTTATTATATTTCTTAGCTCATTTGAACAGTACGACTGGTAGAACATTGCTTGCATTTTGCAAAGAAATCACATTAAATATTTAAAAACATATATTCTTAATGAAATAAAAGTATGTAAATGTCAGAGGTCACCACCAAACCCACTGTAGAATAGATGCAAATCTGCAGCATGCAAGGACCATGTTTGAGGGGGTGGGGTGATTTTAGTTGTCACCTTTTTCTCAGCTTCTGAGTTTGCAGGTATGAGAAAATAGATGCAACTAATACAATTATTTTTTGTTCTTCTATACCAGCTATTTGCTTGTGTTTTTGTACCATGTGGCTTTACGTACCATTGCTACAGCTTTGCTATCCCAGATGTGGCATAACCTGCCAGTTGATTAAGTGAAAAACAAAGCAATGCAGTATTTCAAAACAATGAGTGTTTAACAGTTGATTAGTTCATTGCGATAATTTTTATATTTAGAAGGTCTTAAAAAGTCTTAAATTTAATTTTGAGATCCCTGCAAGATCAACTGTCACATCTTAGGAACAATTGACCCTGTTCCAGTTCCTACATTACCACCCACCCTGAGCTCCCTCAATACTGTTTCATACTCCGAGCTGAGTAAGCTAGTTGCAAGGCAGAAGCCATCTGGCTCTCCACTTGATGTTCTACCGCCTCGTCTCTGGAAGGCTGCCTTTCCGTGCCTTGGCCCTTCACTTGGTCAGATTATCAATGGGAGCCTCAGCACAGGTGTGGTCCCAGCTGCTTTGAAAGCAGCAGTTATTTGGCCGACCCTGAAGAAACCTGGTGCTGATGTCTCTGTGATAGAAAATTACAGGCCTATCTCTACCCTGCCCTTTACATCTAAACTGCTTGAGAAAGTCGTTTATCAGCAGCTGGTCTCACATTTAGCTGACTCTGATCTGTTTGAGGTTTTCCAATCAGGGTTCAGGTCTGGCCATAGCACAGAGTCTGCTCTACTGAGGGTCCTAAATGACATCTATCTATCACTAGATCAGGGAACATCTGTGCTGCTTCTGTTATTAGACCTGACAGCAGCCTTCAACACAGTTGACCACGCGATTCTACTCGATCGCTTGGAACGATGGGTTGGGATCAAAGGGTCAGCTCTGGACTGGTTTAGATCGTATCTCCAAAACAGGACATTCTGTGTTAAACTGGGTGATGTTTTTTCTTCTTGGGAGGGGCTCCGGTGGGGGGTCCCGCAGGGGTCGATCCTTGGTCCACTTTTGTTTGCCATTTATCTGCTACCTCTGGGGTCAATCTTTCGTAAACATGGCCTATCATTCCATCTGTATGCTGACGATTGCCAGATTTACTCTCCATTGTGTCAGGAGAAAGGTCACTCTATTCAGTCCTTTGTCTCCTGTGTTAATGAGGTGAAGTCTTGGCTAATGTCCAACTATCTACATCTGAATGAGGGAAAGACAGAGCTCATTGTTTTTCACCCCAACAGCAGGAATGTGGATCGTTATGCTGATCTTGGCCCTCTTTCTCCATACTCAAAACCAGTTGTTACCAGTTTGGGGGTGAAACTTGATGTAGGACTTAAATTTGATGCTCACATCAATTCTGTGATCCGGTCCAGTTTCTTTCACCTGAGACGCCTTGCTAAAATCAAGCATATGCTGTCGAGAGCCCACCTGGAGCGGGTACTGCATGCCTTTGTAATTTCTTCGCTTGACTACTGCAACTCTCTCTATGCAGGGTTGTGTCAGTCAACACTGCGTCGCCTACAGGTTGTGCAGAACAGCGCTGCCAGGTTCCTGACTGGGACCAGGAAACGGGACCACATCAGTCCAGTTCTGGCCTCCCTGCACTGGCTTCCGATTTCCTATCGCTCACAATTCAAAATACTCGTCTTTGTTTATCATTTCTTCCAGGGTGGTGCTCCCCCCTATCTTGCCACACTCCTGAACAGACATTCCCCATCACGCGCTCTGCGCTCCTCTGACCAAGGCCTGCTCGCTGTCCCTCGGTCTAGGTGTCGTACCCGTGGGGACCGGGCTTTCTCAGTCCTAGCACCGTTACTCTGGAACCAGTTGCCACCCTCAATCAGGCTGTCCCCTTCTCTGCCAGTCTTTAAGAATCACCTAAAAACACACCTCCTCCGCTTGGCGTTTCCAGAACATGTTTGATTATGGCCCTCTATTATGTTGAATCCATTCCACAGTTTTCATTGGTACACTCAATCCATCCACTCAATCCAATTGTGTTTCACACATTTGTATTTTACCGGAATGTTTCATCTATTTTGTTATTTCCATTTTGTATTTTGTAATTTTTATTTTGTAATTTGAATTTCTTTTATTTTGATTTATTCAGTATAATTACTTACAACTGTACCATGTTCAGCGCTTTGGGCTTCCTGACAGGGTTGCGGAAGGCGCTTTATAAATAAAGCTTTGATTGATTGATTGATCTTAGTCACTATCCATAGCAAGCCACATCAGATTGAGCGGGTAATTATTGCAACATGTTTCCAAAAATTCATGTTTGGTCCAACTTTAGATTTTCTACTAAAATCTTAACCACTAAAACTTCTGCAGTGAGTCAATAAAAGGAACAGTGTTCATACTGAAACAACCAGTCAGCAGAGATTTTACCTACTACATCATTCTGCTGTCAGTACCCGGGTAAATGATATGAAACGCGTTCTGTAGAATGACCTGATGTGAGCAGAATCGCAAACACATTGACTATTAAAAACCTCAATTACCTCTGAAAAGGGAAGTGAATAATGTGGTTTATTTGTTCAAAATACAACTTACTGACGACAACGTCCACATTTCATCTCTAATTTCCCTCTGGGATTAATAAAGTATTTTTGAATTGAATTGAATTTGGCATACTTTCTGAAGGTAAAACTCTAAACTTTATTTCAGACCTTTTACCATGACAGCAACAAGTCAGCCTAGTAGTTCCTGGATCAGTCTTTTATCAGTTTCCCATCTGGACCAGCATAGACTGGGCTGGGTGGCGTTGGTCCAGCCCCAGCACTGATAGGGTTTGTTCACACACACTTCTAAGGAATGGGAAATTTCAAGCATGTGGGCGGGGCAAAGGACTGTGGAAAAGGCTGTGGTGTCTCACTAAAGGCGGCCGTGAGCATGTGTGCTCCTCACAGCAGTGAAAAAGAGGGACAGAGCTGCCGCAGCTTCAGTCAAAGGCGACGTTTACTTCCTAGCATCCAGAGTGATAATGAATTGCGCAGTCGCAAAAAGCCCCCGCTGGTTTATTCTATTCACCAATCAGAGGCTCCCCCTCCAAATAGGTGTGCATTTGAGCCGGCCAATCAGTTGTGGTGGGTGTGTTAGCCCGGACAAGCCCTGAGAAGACCACCAGAGGATAAGGGCTGAAAAACTGCCCAGTAGGATGGGGAAAAGTACCAGGCCACCCAGGTAAATGGTAAATGGCCTGTATTTGATATAGCGCCTTCTAGAGTCCTGGAACCCCCCATGGCGCTTTACAACACAATCGGTCATTCACTCATTCACACACACATTCACACGCTGGTGGGGATGAGCTACAATGTAGCCACAGCTGCCCTGGAGCGCTCTGACAGAGGTATGAAAACAATATATGTAATCTGGGCCGGTTGGTACCTGATGTGCAACTCCTATATATATATATTTCCTACTGGACATATTCTGTGTGTCCATCCACTTTGACTAATTGAATTAGATTAGAAGTGACTCACTAATAAAATTAAATCTTTGACTTGTCCTGTAACCAGTCCGAGGGAATCGTTAGAAGTCTATTTCACATAAACTTTTTATTTTTAAAGCAGGATCACCATGGCAGAACAAACGTCTGACATAGAAGTGACGGTGAAAACACTCGACTCCCGGAGCAGAACGTACACGGTTGGTTCTCAGGTAACGGCAAAGTTGCTGCTTCACTTTTACTCAGAGGTTCATAATTTTGTCTGTGTATCTTATTGTAGCTCATGATGTAATGATTGTGTTGCAGTCAAGACTTCAGCTGATGTTTAGCTGTAATCTGGTGCAGCACAGCTCTATTTGAATGATGTTTCTGTACTTGGGCACTTAAAAAGAGATAAACTCACACATTTTGTTCTATCATTTTGCAGCTGACGGTGAAAGAGTTCAAGGAGCACATTGCCCCCTCAGTTGGCATCCCTGTAGATAAACAAAGACTCATCTACCAAGGCAGAGTGCTGCAGGATGAACGGACGCTGGCAGATTACAGTAAACCTTTTGACTCCATTCAGCTTTAGCTCAGGAGATAATTTTATCCCTTTATACAGACAGAAATCAAAATTTTTGGGTTATTCTTAGTGATATGTTTCATGCTGATATTTATGTTGATGTGATTACTATGAGTGGGTTAATTACATTTGTCTCACTGGGCTGCAACTGTGGGAGACAAGTTGCAAACAAGATCCATGAAAGAGTTTTTAAAATGTCTCCGAATATTCATCAGGAATCTAAATTTCCTGAGGAGATTTCCTGCTGAGATGCTTGAAAATGAGGAAAAATGAGCAAATCAGAGTTCACACAAGTATCTCACCTCAAACCAAAACCATCTCAGTTGTTTTCTACTTCATTTGTGTGCATCAGAAGATGACAGACAGCTCTGTACAGGAGTTGGTAACCAAATTGGAATTAAAGTGGGACATGGGGTAGGGCTGTCGCAGTAACCGCAAAAATGAAATATCGCAATATGAAGAAACCCACCGCGCTGCATCATGGGCCACCGCGATTACTGAACTTGGTTCAACTCAGTGATGCATGTTGAGAAGGATGGCTGCACTGGTATCAACTTCGCTCCTTTGGGAGCACTTTGGTTTTCAGTACGTCAGCTGCTGCGCAGCCAGAGTCCTTGGCCGAGACAGAGCTGCCACCAGCGGCAAAAAATAATAATAAACGCTGGGAGACCTGCTGAAGTCCCAGACAAGCACTGCTTCTGCAACCGTCCTGAAGAGAGTTTGAGCCGAGCTGGAGCTCACTCGCTACCTGCAGGAGGAACGCATCCACCCTAAAGAAACCCCCCTGACACGGTGGAGCAACAACCGGGAGAGATTCCCTTTGCTCGCCAGAGTCGCACGCAAGTACGTGTGCGTTAGTGCAACGAGCGCACCATCCGAGAGGGTTTTCAGTGTTGCTGCAAATGTTGCCACCCCTCTCAGATCCTCTCTCAAACCGTATATGGTTAACATGCTGGTTTTGCTTGTGGGTAACAAGGACGTGACCGAGCTATAAATCACCGTCATTCGTGTGTGTGAAAGTGAAATGATAGTGCGCCCACCCCCCTCCCCCCTGGCGCGCGCGCGCCCGGTACATGTAATTTTTTTATGCTTGATTTTAAACAACTAAACAAAATGTGGACTTGTTTCTTATTTGTTAGATGCTGCAGCCAAATTTGCATTTAAAAGTTTAACCTTCTCCTGAATTTTGTTGTTTTTAAGTTCAGTCGGACTCCGACTGTCGGAGAAACAAACGTTACTGCGATCTGTGTTGTTACTGCCCTTTGATCTGCATTCAGTAAAGTGTTATAAAAGAAGGCATGGCAATTTTTAACCTTTTTTAAATGTGTAAACATTATGTTTAGATAGTACTGCAATAAAAAAAAAGGGCTGCAATAATATCGCACACCGCAATATTAAGCCACCCTGAATCACCGCAGGAGGAATTCCTCAACCGCGACAGCCCTGACATGGGGGACACAATTAAGACTCACTGTTACTAAACTGCATGGAATCCTTAGCAAAACGCTCAGTTGAAATTCTTGTGTCTTGGCTGTAATCAAAACTCTTTGCAAAGCTGTCACACCTACCCTTTCTGTGTTTAATTAGCTCATTTTAGCTGATTGTGCATCTCTGACTTGTCGCCTAAAGCTGGAGTCCAGTGAACAACTAGTGAAAAACCAGCTGACTGGAGATATTTAGCTGCTGTTTTAATCCATGAACAATTTTATGATTTCAATACTTTAATGGTTAATTTCCCCTGGTGTTCTGCTTTTCCAGACACTTAAACTGAAAATGTTCTGGTGTTTTTGCAGATGTGGGCGGAAAGGTGATCCATCTTGTGGAGCGGGCCCCGCCTCCACCCTCCCAGGCTGGCTCAGGGTCAGGGGGCACTTCAGCCGACAGCGGGCCATCTTCATCCTCCCAGGGAACGTCACAGGTGCCACACGATCGCAATGCTAACAGCTACGTTATGCTAGGTACATTCAACCTGCCTGTGAACATCATGGATCCCCAGCAGATACAGGTTGGTCTGCATCTGGGCTTTACTCTCCTTTAAAGGTCATTTCAGGCTAACATCTCATGAATCTGATCAGCTCTACCACCTCAACGAGACTCATCTTCCATTGAATTAACTTTTTTTTATTTTAACAAATTAAAAACTAATCAAGATTAAAGTTTGTGTTTTTGTATTTTCATAGCCTCTCATTCCTTTATGTCTAAAATTAACCATTTTTCTTTCCGATCTACTTTCCTTCATTCTTGCATGTAATCCTCACACTTTCAAATTTTCTTTTAGGAATTCAAAAGTCTAATATTTTCACCCTAATCTCAGTTTGTAGAGTTAGATTTTCTGTTTGTGTGTAAATGGTCTTGGTGGAGTTACTGAATATTTGATAGAAGTTGGGTTTAACATTTATAAAAGGACATTTTCAGGCTGCTTATTCAGAGACAAACCAGGAGTGTTGCAGGTAAATTGGCCAGCTGCACTTTCACCTAGACAGAAGTTTCCCACTGCGGTGTGAAGTGGGCATTTATCAGATTATGTGCCGGAAAGTAACAAATAACAGGCGATAATGGCATTAATCGTCAAACATCTAAACGCGTGGGCAGCGGAGTTTCCAGAGTTGGAGTACAGGTTGTAGTCGATCAGTTTTGAATAATTAGGTTGTTCAACCAAACTTTAGAGTGTTGAGTTACATGTTGGGTTGGGTTTTTTTGAGAGGTGTGAAGGTGGGAAGAGAAGACGTGGAGGCTGATTAACCATCATGCAAGGGCTGGGCGATATGGCCTAAAATCAATATCACGATATATTGAGGATTTCACCTCGATAACAATAAATGGACAATAACTACAGGTGTGCGCAGAGACAAAAGTTGTCCACCAGATGGAGCTGTCGCAAGTATTATGTTGAGTCACATTTTTTAGTGACTCAAGGTGGTACAGCTTCTTGAAGGGACATGAATGTTGCCAACCTACACACATCTTTTCATTTTTTTATTATCAAATTTATTGACGTGGGAAAAATGATCTCGATAATAGTCAGAAATTTCGATAATGATAAATTTTCGATGTATCGCCCAGCCCTATACCTTGCTAATTACTATCTAAATACTATCATAAATACTGCAAAGCTGCCAGGGCCGTGAAGATTGTGGCAGGTTTTTTAAATGAGCGTTCTAGCATTTGTTTTGTTGGTGGGTCAGTAGATGTGGGATAAACTGTGTGATTCTGTTCTGATGTAGATGACAGTCCAGCAGATGGTGTCTGGAATGGGAGAGAATGCCAGAGTCACCACCAGCTCCGGGGTGAGGCTCCATTCCTGTGGCTCTACTCAACCACACCTGATGAGGTTTTAACCGATGCTGTTCTTGTTTCAGACCAACGGGTCGGTCAACGTCCACATCGACATGGACCAGCCCATCCAGAGCGAGCCCAGGCTGAGGCTGGTGTTGGCAGAAAACCTGCTGCGAGATGTTAATAATGTCATCAACAGAATGGAGGTGAGATCCCAGCCTTTGGCGTCGGTCGTGCTGCAGAGGGACGCTCACACACACACACACACACACACACACACACACACACACACACACACACACACACACACACACACACACACACACAATGTATTCAGAGCCAATTCATGACAAAACTCAAGTGTTTTCCACAAATGTAAAAGTATAATTAAATTAAATGACATTTAATCCAGTTAAATCCAGAGTCTTTACAGACATTTTCACTGGAATTTCCTGTTTTCATAGGTTTTCCTACATAAATACATTTGTCTTTTCTCCACTCAGCTGCAGATCTGCATCTCAGAGCTGAAAATAACAGAAACATTTAAGCATTGTTTTATTTCATCTTCCAGTTAAATCAGGTAAATTTCCTTGATTTGTTTACATCTGCAACAACAGACAGGAAATAAAAGCACGATCATTAAAAGATCCAAGGAGAACCCTCTGTGACCTTGTTTACACACACACACACGCACACACACACACAAACAAATACAAATCATCTACTGTCCTTCCAGGGTCGGACAAGTGACTCCTCCCAAACTGAGACAACATCTGCTGCTGCCCCTCCGCCACCTCCCTCTTCTTCATCCACCACTTCCACTCCATCTCCATCAGCCCAGCCTATGGACACCTCCCCACCACCAACAACCCCCCCACCTCCTTCCACTTCTTCTGCTGAGTCCGAGGGACCAACTCCACAACCCGGACCCCAGTGAGACACATTTTTATTCAGTCTGAGATTGGTTCAGACTCAGCCACTCCAGATTATTCTAGGCCTGAGTGTTGTCTTCCATGTGTTCCGATTGCATTTGCTTCTTTAACCTGCTTTAATCTGAGCTGCTTTTGCAAAAGTTCTTTAAACTAGACCACAGAGGTCAGAAAAAAGCCTAATTCACACTGAAATCATCAACGATTCGTAACAGCGCTGCTTCAAATAGAATCCATTATAGTCTATGGAGTGTTTCCAGTCGCATCGTTGCAATTTTCAGGTGCGTCCCAGGAGCGCAGTGCCGCTAAAGATAGGACTGCACTCTATTTTTGCTGTGAGCCGCTTCTGGGACACGTCAATTTCTGCAGTTAACAAAGGACTTAACAGGAAATTACACACAGTTTCAGTGTAAAATCCTCGGTAAATGTCAAAATAAAAGTACTCCAGTGATGCATTTTCTTATATATGAAGCTTACGTGTGACCCAACGGCTTATTTACTCCCGGCATCGTTCCAGAAGTGCAGCGGTGTGTTTTTCATGGCTTTAATCCCTGCAGTGGAGAGGAACAACATCATACGACATCAAATGCTATTTTCTTCTATTTGGTTTTATCGTAAATCGCGTAAACAAACCAACCTTGAAGTCTCGAGGGATTTTGTGGTCTTGCGAGTCCAGAGAGGAGCACAGCGAGAAAGCCGTTCCACAGCTTACACACTCCCGGTGTGTAATGGACCACATTGAACTGGGAGTAAAACGTTCCACGCCGCTGATGCCTCCAGTGTGAAACAGGTAATAGGTGGAGCATCATTCAGGTGTTCTCCATAAATGCTACAAGGTTAGAATCATTACAGCGGTGCGTTTTGTTTGTTGTTCGAGGGAATTAGTTATAGTTCACACGACCAGTCTTCGTTAATTTTATAAATGTGTCAAACAGCCTCATCTGAACTGGTGCGGTTGTTTTTAACGTGTAATGGGTTTCCGTCACTCTGACCAGTTTGTTTTCTTGTCCTCCTCCAGTCATCCCAGTCCAGCTGAACTGGCAGAGATGCTGTCTGAACTGCGGCGAGTTGAAGAGAGGCTGCAGCCTTTTATCCAGAGGGGTCACACTATTCTGGAGACGGCCACCACGGCAGAGTACAACAACAACACGGTAGGGTCCAAACTCTCCCGCCACCATAAATACATCTGAATGACCAGAAGAGCTGCTTTTAGATCCGTACACTTCTGAATCAGCAGCACATACTTCAAATTATTTTGCTCCTTAAACTGGCTCAGTGTGTGTGTGTGTGTGTGTGGGCGTGACTTCTATTTTAGCCTTGTTATTTTATGTAGCTTATATTTTACTACCTCCTTACATGAGCTGTCTTTAACTCATTCACTGCCAATGACGACTAAATTCGTCGTTTGCATTTTTTACTGTGTGGGCGTCCGAACGAGCCCCCGCACCGCGTGAACAAACATCCCAGCTCTAAAGTCGATCTTCATCCACGTACGTTACACGTCACGTGATCAGTAAGCAGAAAACCCATGTGTTAGGAGATCGTTTTGGACCGTTGCTGTAAAATAAGTGAGGCGCGAACCGGAAAAGCTTCTGCCGATCACAATTCGACAACGGATTATGAAAGAACGGATAACGCTGGAAACGCGTGGATTCTTCTTGATGTAAGAGGTGAGTTTACTCTTTGTTGTGGTAGTTTTGGCGTTGACATCATCGTAGCGCGTAACGTTCTGTGACGGCGAAAACCGCTGGCAATCAGGAAACGGCTGGCAGGGAATGAGTTAATGAGCACAAAGTCAGTGTCGTTGACGTGTGCAATGACAACAAAAATCATCTTGAATCTTGAACATCTACCTTTAATAATTAGTCAACCAGCTTGTTGGTGATTTTAGCTTTGTTTTAAAAGACGAAATAATGCAACCTTAGATGCATATGTAGTTTTTGTTATGAATGTGGTTAGCTCTGTTTTACTTATCCTGAGGTGAAATCGCTTTTGGTTCTTGTTCTAAAGGGTTTTAAACATCTAACATGAACTAAAAGCAGATTTTTTTTTTTTCACACAGGAAAGAGAGGAAGACCAAAGAACACTCTTCCAGATTTGTGAGTGTTTTCGTCTCCTTGGCAACGCCCTGGTTGCCCTGAGTGACCTGCGGCTGAACCTCATGACTCCAGTCCCTCGTCACCTTCATGTGATGCGGCCATTTTCTCACTACACCAGCCCCGTCACCCTCCCTGGAGCCGTGCACCATCACATCCCAGTGCAAGTACGAGGTGTTGGGGTGTTCAGCTGATTGGTGTTGTGTCTCTGGTTGCGCCACACTGAATGAGCTTCTGTCACCCACAGATGAACTTGGGTGCCACAGTGACTGTTGCAGGTAACAGCACTGAGGGACAAACTCCGCCCACCCAGCCAGCCAGCCAGTCGGAGCAGGCAGGTCAGGGACAGACCTCCCCCTCACAGACTACCCCGTCCAATCAGCAGGCTGGACAGGGACAGGCTGGCCCCCGGGTCATCAGGATCAGCCACCAGGCAGTCCCGGTGGTCATGATGCAGATGAACACGGACGGTGTGTTGTCCCCTCCCCGCCACTGATTGAGTCCTGTGTTTGTGTCTCAGAGGACTTCATCCATAAGAGTTGCTGAAAGACGAAGCGTGGATCTAACCAGACTAATGAGAAGTTTTCTCCCATGTTTGTTAAACCAGCCATGACTCTGATGTTGGAAAGGCACATTGTTAGAAAAACTGCATAGATTGTTTGGGTTGTAATTATAAATGACTTGCACTTGTGTAGAGCTTTTCCAAAGCACTTGATACTAGTTTTTCTGTTTATTTCTGTTATTTGCAGGCCCAAGTGGAAACTCAGCTGCAGGTACTCCACAAATGCCCGGACAGCCAGGTAAAGAGTCCCCACTCTAACTGGATCCAAGATTCTTGTTACTTTATAAAAGTTCTAAATAAATCCTGCCTTACCTGTTTCTGACTGGCCTTTGGTCACAGAAAAAGTTTAACACTTTGAGGACTGATAAGCTAACAGCTAGTCCAAGTAAGCAACTCTGATCTGGATTTTTCAGCAGTTTAGTTCATAAAATGTGACTTTTTAGTTTGAATCAGACTATTTAGAACTTCCTGCGGGACTCGAGTCCAGGATGGCCTGGAAGCGCTACATTCACCTGGAGATGTTTACATTTGTAAATAATTGCCGAAATCCATGCAAACAACCACAGGATATGAAACCAAAAATGATGGAGAGGTTAAAGTTTGGGATTTGAAGTTGGCTGCAACACACTTTTGTCCACTCTGAGTTGGCTTTTTGCTTATCGTAGGGTTGGGCATCGTTTGATTTTGAACGATTCCGATTCCTCGTTTCGATTCCTGTTCCTATTGATTCCTGATTCCGATTCTTTTAAGACATTACATGTTTTAAACGAGCTAGCCAACCACAGGTTCTACTTGAATGAAATAATCTTAACTTCAACATGAATTTTAATTCTATGAACACTAACATCACCTTCATTTAGACAAAAACATGTTTTGGAGATAAAAAGAAAAAGACTTGCAGCACAACCAGTGTGTTTGTTTCTGACCACAACCAAAGTCTGGAAGAAGCCTCTGGGATGAGAGGCTAAATGTCTCCAACATATCCAGAAACGTCCAGCTGTTTTCAGCTAAAACTCTCAGGATGATCATGTCCAGGATGACTGACAACTACACCTCCATGCTGCAGCAGCATTCAGTCAGAACAGAAACTGAAACCTAAATGAAGCTGCTTGTCAGTAACAATCTAACCGATTTTAAACATTAAAGTCAGGGGGACTCGGTGCTGCACACAGACAGCTGGTGTGATCAGCTCTGAAAGGTTTTGATCACAATTTGCAGATCAGGTTTATTTTTCACGGAGATCGGCTGCAAATTCCTCTTCTGGTCGGCATGCTAGGAATCAAAATTTAAAAAAAAACTTTTAAAGTCGGTCCCGGTTCCAATCGATGCTTGATGCCCAACCCTACTTATCAGTCATCAAAGATGTTACATTTTCTAAGAAGAAAGGCTGCTCACGAGTCTTATCTGTGATGTGCAGGATCAGAAAAATGTGAACTCAATATTAATCATACACTTCAGATTAGCTTGAATACCTCTTCAACTCTTTGTTTTAAAGGTGCGGTTCACTTGTTTAATCGATACATTTACAGTGGTCTCTAGTGGGACTGAATGCTTTGTAAGTTGTACTCTGTAAATTAACTCGAACTGGTACATGGACCGGTACAGTATTGATGTGGTTGGTGGATGATCCATCCAATAGAGAGAAGTTCAGAGTTCAGACCAAACCAGTCGTTCCTGCCTTGCTCCATCGCCATTTGAACCCGCCCAATTCGAGTCTAATTTCCCCCCAACATTTACAGGTTCTTTGTTCCGACGATGATGTGCAGGGTTTCCCCCAGTGCTTTATAAGTCTGGCGGCCCGCCAGGCTAAGCGTCATGCCCCGCCCCCCTCCCAGACCCTACCGTGTCCGCTGACACGAATGGCGCAACAAAACTAGAGCCCTCCATCAGCTGATACTGGTGAGAAACAGCAGTGGAACATGTGCAACCCCCGCTCTCACGGAGGAGCGCTGCGGGACAGAGCTGCCCCCCAACAGCCGAATCCGCCATGTTTAACTTATTTTCTGGGGGAAACCCTGGATGTGACATCACAAACGTGTCCGTAATAATAATCCTCAGGACTGAACGATCTCAGGAAAAGATCGAATTGAGATTTTTCTAGGAGAAATTGCGATTTAAGTTTGATTCATGATTTTCTTCAACTCGAGGTCGCTCAAAGACATACGGCCACAGCCTTTAATATTTACTGTAGCTGAGCTATGTAAGGGAAAAAAACAGGGAAATAACCGAAGTGTGCAGTTCTGTCAGCTGAAGAATTGGTCTCGGCTCCGGTACTGGTACTCCCCCTGTGCTTGCTGCCACCACCATTACACGGTTAAACCCCGGATGTCTAAAATAGTTCACACAACAGATCGTGGGTCAGTCAGAAGCACTACAAAAAATCGCAGCTTTGACGATCACGTGATCGCGTTTTTTGAAATCGCAGTTTTGGTCCAAAAATCGTTCAGCTCTGTGATCCACATAACCTGTCAAATGTGATCTGTAGCTCCGCCCCCATTAATTGGATTAGCTGTTTTCTGAGAAACATTAACAAAAGGCTGAGTCTGTATTTATGTGTGTTTTCTCTTTAATGTTGAGAATAAATGGATGCTTAAAGGGGAAACATTTAGTAACCTTTGCCCCTCCCCCTCTAGGTGCCGTCCCTCCTGACTTTATGAGGAATCTGATGCAGCAAGTCAGCCAGTACGCCACCGCCTTTGCCACAGCTCCCACTGGTCAGCCAGTCCCTCCTCAGCCCACCCCTCCCAACACCACACCCACCTCCTCAGCTACTACCACTGGTCCAAACACACCCACCACCACCCCTACTGCCCCCCCACCACCTTCCCATGCTGGCCCCCAGCAGCCCCTGGCCAGAGTTGTGTTTACCCGACCCCCCTTTGGCTCCAACATGCCCCCTCCAGCCTTCGGGCCTCGGGGAACCACCATCAACGTGAGGGCTGCCATGCCGGCCCAGCAGCCAGGACAGGTGGGAATGACGTTCACCTGCTGGTCTTGGGGTTCTCGTGGACTTTAGCAACTAAAATAAACTTTTTCATCTCAGGCTTTCAACCCTGCTGCTCTGAACCAGATGATCAGTGGACTGGTGGGACAACTCCTGCTGCCGGGACAGCTGGGTACGCTCTTCCTCCTTAGTTAGATTAGAATCTTTAAATAACACACCAGAGCAATAATACATCTTTATTATGTTTCTATCAGCTGGTCAAGCAGTCACGTCCAACTCCTCTACGTCCACTTTTACAACCACTTCATCCTCTTCTTCCTCCTCCTCTGAAACCTCTTCCTCCTCTACCTCCTTTACGTTTGCTGCCACTGGTCCAACGCCTCCTCCTGCTGCCAGTGCTGCTTCTACTCAGAACCAAGCAGGGACCACCAGTGGCGAGCCTCAGGACTTGGCACCGGATCTCCGTCAGCTCCTCGGTTCCCTCCTAGGGATGGCTGGAGGGGCAGGTGGTGGCCCCACAGGGGCCCCCTCAATCACAGTCACCACATCCGGTGTTCCAGCCTTCTTCCAGGGAATGACTGAATTCATGCAGCAGGTGGGTGCACAAGCGGCGGGGCTCACACAAACTCAATAAGCTGCTCAGATCAGATTCTAAATTTTGACTCTGCGATTAGTTTTATTTTATGTTGATTTTTGTCCTGAAAAACAAACTGAGGAGCTGTAGTAATGCAACTAAACATGTCTGCTCTTTAACTCCTGGAAAACCATCTGGTTACTGGAATCATCCAGAAGTCATCCTGATCGGTTAAATCAGAAATCAGAGTGCTTTTGGGGCTCATGAATGCAACATTTCAGACTTGTTCCTAGCCCTTGAATGCATCATTGCTGAGTTATCCCCTTTGTAAAAATAAAATGTTCTGTTATTAAAGTGAATCAGTATCAACGGGTCAGAGCTGCTCCAGAACCAGAGCCTGGTGTTGCTGCAGCTTTTAGAGGTCACTCAGTTTTAAACTAGAAAAACGTCTCACACCTGCTTTGTCTTAAAATTTGTGTTTTTACATAAAATGTTTTTTTTTCTTTAGTTAAATGTGAAAGAAAAAAAATCCTAAACAAACATAGAAACTGCAGCTCAGGTCACTCATCTGCTTCTCTTTCTAGGCCTCCCAGCCCATTTTCTCCCCTCCCCCACATCCCTCTGGTACCGCTCCAGCTCCTGGGTCAGAACCCAACACAGCAGGAAACCCCCCTACAGCAGCCACCGCTGGCGCTGAGTCCCTGAACCCAGAGCTGTTTACGGGCATCGTCCGCGGTGTCCTCAGTACTATGATGGGTTCTCTGGGTCAGGCTCAGAACGACACGGAGAGCATCGCTCAGTTCATGCAGAGGCTCTCTCAGGCCACCAACATCTTCATTAGCCCTGAAGACCCAACAGGTACAACACACCTGTCCTCCTCTTTCAGCTGCTAGATTCATCTGGGTCACTCTTTACCCCTCCCTTCTCCTCCCCAGGGTTCTTCGGAGAGCTGCTGATGCTGGTGTGTCAGACCTTCACCATGTCTGATCTGGTGATGCTGCTTCACGGCCAGCACCAGCCCCTGAGCCGGATCCAGCCTCAGCTGTCCCAGTTCTTCACCCAGAACTACCTCAACGGCAGAGAGCCCACCGATGAGAACATCACTGTCAGTAGGACTCAGGAATCTGATTACTTTTAACTAACTTTAAATTCACATTAGTTCATTACTTTGTGGTTTAAAAATCAGGTTTGATGTTTAAATGTTTTTCCTCTGCAGGCTGCTGCCGACACGCTCGTCAACGAGCTGGAGGAGTACATCACAGAGAGCTTTGTGAGTTCCACTGATGCTTTTCACAGATTCAATGTTCAAGATCTGGGTTCTAGAAAAGGTCAAAGGTCAGAAACAACCAGTGAAGCAAATCTGTTGTGTTTGAAGTCCCTGCAGCAGAAGGCTTCAGCTCTTTATTTTAACTTGACCAGTAATAAATCAAAGTGTGTGAGACGCTAACGATGGAGGTTCTCTCTCCTTGTCTCCTGCAGAGAGAGTCCTCAGTCACTGTGTTGGACGGCGTCGACGTCACACAGACCAACATGTCTTTTTTCAGACAGCAGCTGACTCAAATTGCCACACACATCCTGCGCTGCACAGGTGGGCCCAGGTGACGTTTAGTTTCTCACAGGAAACGCGCTGAGCTAAAGGTTTGCTGTTTTACATCTAGACGAGACGTTTGGGCCCAGGCTCCTGCAGATGTGTAACCAGGCTCTGTTTGAGTGTCTCGCCCTCAACATGCACTGCCTTAGAGGAGACCAGCGAGCTCTAACGGCCGTCATCAACCACAGAATCGTGAGTTTGAGTCGAGATTTATTGTATTTACTAGAACTGTTAGTTTTCCTTAAAGGTGTGGTTCACTGAAAACCATTTTTATCATTTTTGATTATAATTGGTCACTCTTGAGTTTTTCCCCATGGCCTCACCAAACTCCTCCCACGCCCGAGATTTTGCCTCGGCAACTGCCACTGCTGCACCCCGCTTGGCTATCCGGTACTTGTCTGCTGCCCCCGGAGACCCACAGACCAGCCACGCCCTGTAGGCCTCCTTCTTCAGCCTGACGGCTCCCCGAACCTCTGGTGTCCACCAGCGGGTACGGGGGTTGCCACCACGACTGGCTCCGGCCACCTTACGACCACAGCTAGCAACAGCCGCCTCGACAATCGCAGAGTGGAACAAGGCCCACTCGGACTCAATGTCCCCCACTGCTCTCGGGACGTGGTCAAAGCTCTGCCGGAGGTGGGAGTTGAAGACCGTCTTGACAGGTTCTTCTGCCAGGCGTTCCCAGCAGACCCTCACTATGCGTTTGGGTCTGCCAGGTCTACGCGGCATGTTCCCTTGCCATCTGATCCAACTCACCACCAGGTGGTGATCAGTTGACAGCTCCGCCCCTCTCTTCACTCGGGTGTCCAAAACATACGGCCGCAGGTCAGATGATACAACTACAAAATCTATCATCGACCTGTGACCTAGGCTGCCCTGGTACCAAGTGTACCGGTGGGCATCCTTATGTTCGAACATGGTGTTATGGCCAAACTGCGGCTTGCACAGAAGTCCAATAACAAAACGCCGCTCGAGTTCTGATTAGGTGGGCCGTTCCTCCCAATCACACCCCTCCAGGTCAAGCTGTCATTGCCCACGTGAGCATTGAAGTCCCCCAGCAGGACAATGGAGTCCCCTGATGGAGCACTATCTAGCACTCGTCCCAGGGACTCCAAAAAGGGTGGGTACTCTGAACTGATATTTGGCCCATAAGCACAAACAACAGTCAGGACCCGTTCCCCGACCCGAAGGCGCAAGGAAGCTACCCTCTTGTCCCCCGGGGTAAACCCCAACACACAGGCAGAGAGTCTCGGGGCTAACAAACAGCCAACCCCAGCCCTCCGCCTCTCACCCGGAGCAACTCCAGCAAAGTAGAGTGTCCAACCCCTCTCCAGGTCTCGGGTTCCAGAGCCAATGCAATGTGTCGAGGTGAGTCCGACTATATCTAGCCGGTACCGCTCAACCTCTGCCACAAGCTCCGGCTCCTTCCCCGCCAGCGAGGTGACGTTCCATGTCCCAAAAACTAGTTTTCTTGTCCGGGGATTGGACCGCCAAGGCTCCCGCCTTGGTCTGCCACCCGATTCGCATTGCACCGGACCCTTCATGTTCCTCCTGCGGGTGGTGGGTCCACAGTTGGACGAGCCCATGTATCCGGTTCGGGCTGGGCCCGGCCGGGCCCCATGGGCGAAAGCCCGGCCACCAGGCGCTCGCTCACGGGCCCCAACCCCAAGCCTGGCTCCAGGGTGGGACCCCGGTAACCCTCCGGGCCGGGTACTCCGACTCTTCGTTTTAACCGCCATGAAAGATCCTTCGAACCGTTCTTTGTCTCACCCTTCACCTAAGACCAATTTGTCATGGGAGACCCTACCAGGGGCACTAAGTGCCCCAGACAACATAGCTCCTAGGATCATTAGGGCACTCAAACTCCTCCACCACGATAAGGTGACGGTTCAAGGAGGAGTCCATGGAGAAAGACTATCGATCGGCTCCAAAGAGGTTCTGGCAAACTGTCCGGCGCCTCAGGAGAGGAAGGCAGCAACTCGCTCACACTGTTTACAGTGGGGATGGGGAGCTGCTGACGTCAACTGAGGCTATAGTCGGACGGTGGAAGGAATATTTTGAGGAGCTCCTCAATCCCACCAATGCGCATTCCGAGGAGGAACCAGAGCTGGGAGGCCTGGGGATGGACTGTCCGATCTCGGGGGCAGAAGTTGCTGAGGTAGTCAAACAACTACACAGCGGCGGAGCCCCGGGGGCGGATGAGGTTCGTCCTGGGTATCTCAAGGCTATGGATGTTGTAGGGCTGTCATGGTTGACACGTCTCTACAACATTGCGTGGTCATCGGGGGCAGTTCCTAGGGAGTGGCAGACCGGGGTGGTGGTCCCCATCTTTAAGAAGGGTGACCTGAGGGTGTGTTCCAACTATAGGGGGATCACACTCCTCAGCCTCCCTGGAAAGGTCTACTCCAAGGTACTGGAGAGGAGGGTCCGATCGATAGTTGAATCTCAGATAGAGGAGGAGCAATGTGGTTTTCGTCCTGGCCGTGGAACTGTGGACCAGCTCTATACCCTTGCAAGGGTGATGGAGGGGGCATGGGAGTTTGCCCAACCAATCCACATGTGCTTTGTGGATTTGGAGAAGGCTTATGACCGTGCCCCCAGGGGCACCCTGTGGGGGACGCTCCAGGAGTATGGGGTGGGTGGCTTTCTGTTAAGGGCCATTCAGTCCCTTTACCAGAGGAGCGTGAGTTTGGTCCGCATAGCCGGTAGTAAGTCGGACCTGTTCCCAGTGAGGGTTGGACTCCGCCAGGGCTGCCCTTTGTCACCGGTTCTGTTCATCACTTTTATGGACAGAATTTCTAGACGCAGCCGTGGTGTGGAGTGTGTCGAGTTTGGTGGCAGGAGAATCTCGTCTCTGCTTTTTGCGGATGATGTGGTCCTCCTAGCTTCATCCAGCTCTGACCTTCAGCTCTTGCTGGGTAGGTTCGCGGCCGAATGTGAAGCGGCTGGGATGAGGATCAGCACCTCCAAATCTGAGACCATGGTTCTCGACCGGAAAAGGGTGGCTTGCCACCTCCAGGTCGGGGGAGAGGTCCTACCTCAAGTGGAGGAGTTTAAGTATCTCGGGGTCTTGTTCACGAGTGAGGGTAGGAGGGATCGGGAGATCGACAGGCGGATTGGTTCGGCGTCTGCAGTGATGCGGACGCTGAGCCGATCTGTCGTGGTGAAGAGGGAGCTGAGCCAGAAAGCCAGGCTCTCGATTTACCAGTCGATCTACGTCCCAATCCTCACCTATGGTCATGAGCTTTGGGTAAAGACCGAAAGAACGAGATCGCGGATACAAGCGGCCGAAATGAGTTTCCTCCGTAGGGTGGCCGGGCTCAGCCTTAGAGATAGGGTGAGGAGCTCGGACATTCGGGAGGGACTCGGAGTAGGACCGCTGCTCCTCCGGATCGAAAGGAGCCAGTTGACGTGGTTTGGGCATCTGGTCAGGATGCCTCCTGGACGCCTTCCCGGGGAGGTGTTTCGGGCATGTCCTGCCGGCAGAAGGCCCCCGGGTCGACCCAGGACACGTTGGAGAGGTTACATCTCCAATCTGGTCCGGGAACGCCTTGGGGTCCTGCCGGAGGAGCTGGTGGACAAGGCCGGGGAGAGGATGGCCTGGAGCTCCCTAGTTGGGATGCTGCCCCCGCGACCCGGACCCGGATAAGCGGAGGAAGACGAAGATGAAGACACTCTTGAGTTTTTCATACAGGCTGAACATAAAAATAGTGCTCTACACTTAACTCCTGCATTAGTTTCTGATAGATAATAGACAGTAAAACTCAGGATTTGAAAATCCTCACTCTGTGATGTCACACTGTGAATTTGCATTCATGGCCTTGCCCATCTTGGCTCGCGCCTGCCCACAGGAATGCTTTTAAAAAAATTATTTTGCAGTGAGGAGAGAGAGCAGATTATGTCTTGGTGATAGTGACAGTGACTATGCAATATATCATGGTTAGCCAATCAGAAGCGAGGTGTGTGCATATTAGGGCTGCAAAAACGAATCGCTAAAATTGATGAAGTTGATTACCGACGCACCATGTGCTAATCTAAGTGGTGTGGAGGAAAACAGAAACTAGCAAAGACACAAAGGCAGAAACGGTTTGGGATCAAAAGCGAAACTACAGGCAGATTAGCTAATGCTAGCGGGTAGCAGGCTCACGATCAAGTGGGGTTCTGAAAAAACATGATGGCCATGAAACGAAGAACATCTTACATTTAACACCCACATCCGCCACCTCTGCAAGGTCTCTTTTCTTCACCTCAAAAATATTGCGAAACTCCACCCCACTCTTTCCAAGCCAGATGCAGAGAAGTTGGTCCATGCATTTATCTCCTCCAAGTTGCACTATTGCAATGTCCTCCTCGTTGGGGCCCCCGGCAAGAGCATAGAAAAGCTCCAGCACATCCAGAACTCGGCTGCCCGGGCCTAGATGAGGAGACGCAAATACGATCATATCACTGTTATCGCGATGACGATAATTTTTCGATATATTGTGCAGCCCTAGTTTTATCTATTTCTGGGGACTGTTTTTACTTGGTAGCATTCTGAAATTTTAACTGTTTTTAACTAGCTGTGTACCTTATACCTGTCCCCTATACTCTGTAGCACTTTGAGATTACCTCTAATGTAAAGCGCATTATAAATAAAATGTATTTTATTATTATTATTATTATTATTATTATTAACATCTAAACTCTTCAAGCGGAAGAAAAGTCCCCATCATCCTGTTTATTCTTAGCTGTCTGCAGCGCTATGGAGCAGAACCGCTGCTGTCGGGGTCGAGTCTGCTCTGCTAAACACTGCAGCAGGATTATGGCAAGCCACTGTAGCATGTAATTCATAAACACGTCTATCTGAACATAATTTAAACTGAATTGTTGCCAAACCGTGCATAATGGATATGTCTCCATTACATTTTAAGCAGTAGAAATGAAATGTTATTGGCATTTCCAGTAGCTTAGTACTGAACATGTAAATGAAATACATAGTTTTACTGATCATTGTTTAATTATGGATATATTTAGATGATAGCATGTTGTTTTGCACTCTATTGAACTGTTTTCTAATCATGTGCTGTTGTTAAAGTAAAGGAAGGAGAGAAAAAAATCCCTAGCAGTTTAAATTAAGTAATTTAGTTAATGACATTTGTGGGATATGTGGAGTCTTTTTAATCTGTAAAGCACTTAGTTACATTTTTTGTATGAAAAGCACTTAACTCATTCACTGCTAGCCGTTTCCTGATCGGTAAAGCCCTTCGCCTGCGTTTAGTGTTTTTCCTGTTTTTGTAAGAGTCACAGAACGTTGCACGCTAGGATTATGTCGACGCCAAAACTACCAAAACAAAGAGGAGGCTCACCTCTTACATCAGGAAGAATCCGCACATTTCCAGCGTTATCCGTTCTTTCATAATCCATTATCGAATTGTGATCGGCAGAAGCTTTTCCGATTTGTGTCTCACTTATTTTACAGCAGCAGCCCCAAACGATCTAACACATGGATTTTCTGCTTCCTGATCACATGACGTGTGACGTATGCGGATGAAGATCAGCTTTAGAGCTGGGATGTTTGTTCTCACTGTGTGGGGGGCTCGTTCCGACGCCCACACAGCAAAAACATGCAAATGATGACTTTAGTTATCATTGGCAGTGAATGAGTTAATAAAGTTTGATTTGATTTTCCTGTTTCATTTGATTAATCGAGACCCCATCCGATTAACTGATGATCCAAATAATCGTTTGTTGCAGCCCTAGTGCATATCGTTAATAATAATGAGTAATCCAGCCGTTTTCAGCCCACCCCTGCACCAGCAGACCTCTGCATCGCAGAGCAGGAGCAGCATAGCTTTTTTAATGTCTCATAAGGCATTGATGTACACTAGAGAACACTGCAAATGGATTGAATAAATGAGTAAACCACACCTTTAAAAAATGAAAACATGAATAAAACCCACCTTGTTAAATAAAACATTTTTTGGTGATTAAATGTGGAATTTTGCTCAAATTCACAAAGAAGTGTTTAAATGTCTTTAAGTGTCTCTAAATTCACTTGTGCTTTATGACCATAAAAGTTGTGATTGTGTTTAGAAGTGTTGACGTCTAGAGCAGGGCGCTGACATGTTCCCACCAGCTGATCCAGCGCTGTAACTGGGAGATAAGTCTGACCTTTGTTCTTCCAGCGGAGGATGTCGAGTGACATCAGCCCCAGTCTGGTGAACTGGATGACCAGTATGATGACCATGAGGCTGCAGGTCATCCTGGAGCACATCCCCGTGTCTCTGGAGCAGATCCAGAGCTACATCGTTTACACACAGGTGACCGGATGTTACTGTTTGTTCCTTTCAGAATAAAAGCTGAAGCCAAACCAACCTGAGAGGATTTTAACGCTGCAGATTATTTATTTATTGTTAGACGCAGCAGCAGCAGCAGCTGTAACATGCTCTGTCCCTCCTGTCTGATGGCTGCTTGGCATCACCTTACTGCTGCTGATAAATATTACATGGTGTTTGTCCTCAGATGGATCCGACTTCTGGGAGTAGCACACAGGGAGCTGAGCGGGCTCAAAGCGAAACGGTAAGCTCAGAGTGTGTGTGTGTGTCAGTGGGTGTGTGAGCGAGCGAGTTTGTGTGTGTTTGTTTAAACAAATCAACATTTCCATCTCCTCCTTCATGTTTTTGTCCCCCACAGATTGGGGACACCCTCTCACCTGCTGCAGCCACCACAGCAGAGGAAGCCATGTCTGTGTCCCGCGACATGGCGTCATCGTCACGTGAGATGAGGGCGTTACCCACAGACCTGGGAGCCTCGGGTGGAGCCGCGCCGTTAGGTGGAGACATGGCAGCGGCGGGAGCAGAGGGAGGCAACGAGGATTCTGAAGGAGAGTCTGAAACCTGGGCTGCCGTGGTACCTCCTGTAAGGCAACCCCCCCCACACACACACACACACACACACAGGACCTGATACACAAGTCATGTGTAGCTCATTAACCAGATAAAGAACGTTTTTATTCATCCTCATTAAAGCTTTTGCAATAAACGTTTGACAGAAGCTTTTTTTCTTCTTATGAAAGAAAAAACAAAAAAATACTTTTAATATTTTATTTTAAAAACATAAATACAAAGTTGCATCTTGTAGAATCAAGAGTTTTTACTGTGGAGATTTTTATTTCAGGATAAAAACAAACTTAGTGATTTTATCCTTTAACCAGGGGACCTCAATTATAATGGTCTGAGGGCCACACACAAAAAAGACCTAGACAACACATAACCCACATAACACACAAGCTTGCAATATAAAGCAGGACAACACCTGTCCCCCTCCAGCTCGGCTGTGTGACTGCACTAACCTGTCCTGTGGGACCCTCACCATGTGACCCTCATGTCCATGCTGTCTCTGGAGGAGCAGATAGGAGACAAGACCTCCTGTAACTTAAAATGAACCAAAGCTTCCTCCCAGTTTCTCTTTAAGCTGAATTTAACATCAGTTTATCTTCATGAAACAAAAGAATAAAGTGGATCAAGAACTTCTATCTTCTATTTCTCTCTCCTTTTAACTTCTCCGTGTCCCTAAATAAAAGAGACGGATGATTACGCTACAGCCGCCGTCACTCACCCCGCCCCCTCCCCAAGACCGGATCTCCAGACATCACAGCACTCGGTCTGACTGAGTGCTTCCAGGAGAAACAATAGATATTATGAAAATAATAACGTGTGTTTGGAGGAGCGTCCTCCGATCCTCTCTCTTGTGTGAGCAGACAGTCTCCCGCTTTCTCTCTCTCAGTCGCTGATCGAGCGAGTGGAGCGCGCCGCGCGACAACCCGCTCAATTAACATAATTAGAACGGGTTGGGCTGATTCGATTCGGGTTCAGTCTCAAATTTCAACTCCAGCGCTCAGCCCTGCAGTACCACATAAAGGAAAATCAAAGTTTCCTACCTGGTAAATGTGGAGAACACCGCTCTGACAGATGTGGATGCTGCGCTGCCGCCGTTAAAATAACAAAACTACATTCCACTATAACTGATTATGGTACTCTTCTATGATGCTAAACCGTTTAGCCCGCATCTCATGCATTGATTATTTGATTATTTTCCTCAGCTCTATCTATCCTACACCTTCCGGTCGGCCGTGGCCGTCTGGGATGGGGGTGGGGGGTGCGCGCGGGTTTTGGGGGCCACAAAGAGAGGGCCCGCGGGCCGCCATTTGCGGACCACTGCTTTAACCTTCTGAATCAACGTTTTTTGTCTTTCTTCTGCATAAAGTCACTGAAACAGCTGATTAGTGTCTCTTCCTGTTATGCAGGAGTGGGTTCCCATCATCAGGTGTGACATGATGACGCAGAGGAAGATGAAGGCTCAGCCCCCGCTCTCTGACGCCTATCTCCACGGCATGCCGGCTAAACGCAGGAAGGTACTCAGAGCAGCTCGGGCTTGTTGTGATGTCACAGCACAGTTGTGTTTTCAAGTGTTGAACGTGTGTGTGTGTGCGTATGTGTGTGTGTTCAGACGGGGCAGGGCAGCGGCAGCCTCCTCTCTCTCTCTGACGCGGTGAGCCAGGCAGCCAGGACCGCCGGGGTAAGGCCGATCACGTCGGTCGAGCAGCTGCAGGGAGATCTGGAGACCGAGGAGGTGAAGGAAGCCTACTCGGAGCAGGTGAGACCTTCGTCCTTTCAGTGGGTTCATCTTCATCACGGGGTTTAAACCACAAGAAGGTCCCAAGAGACTCGAGATGCAGCGTTTATGAATATTTAATCAGAACCTCAGTGAATATCTGGTTTCAGTGTTTGGGTTCATTAATGTGGCGCCGGGTCACGACGGGCTTTTGCTTGTTACACTTATTTAAACAAAATCTGGATCCATCTCAGGTTGTAACTCTAATTAATTTTAGAGTTTTCATTATTGGGGAGTAGAGCATTCAGCCACTCTGCTCCCCGCCTCTGGAATTCCCTTCCCCTGACCTTCGCACCTCTCATTCTCCCACTTTTTAAATCAAAACTCAAAACCCACTTGATATTAATTTCATAGTTTTTTTTTATTTTTAACATGTTAGTGTTTTTATATTTTTCTGTCCTACGTGTTTATTTTGTTCTATTTTATCTTCATTGTTGTAAAGTGTCCTTGGGTGTCATAAAGGCGCTTTTTAAATCAAATATAATAATAATAATTTATTCAGTAAAAAATTAAAGATGAGTACTTTGTAGATTTGGTCTAAAGGCTGTTAATCAGTGGTGTTTTTGTGTAGCTTAGCTGACGTTTTAACCTTTTGTTTAAAGGTGATGTCTAATCAACACTATGAAGAGTTTATTTTGTATTAGCAACACAAACCATAGGATTGTGTTGCTTTTGTTTCCCATCAGGTTTAGATTTAGAATTTTTACCTTGTGTTAACGGCTGATGCAGCTGCTGTTACCTGGTTACGGGGCTCAAATAAAAGTTTATGTTGTTCTGCAGGTTTTAGTTTCTACCAGCAGGGGCGGAGTCAAACCCTACCGATGGGTTAACCCAGGGGTCGGCAACCTGTTCCCATCAAAGAGCCATTATTACCCGTTTCCCACAGTAAAGAAAACACTGGGAGCCACAGCAGCTGCGGCGTTGTGGGCGGGGCCTACCCTCAGACAGCAAGATGTGGAGAGGGGCTTGGAGTGCATCGCAGAACCAGAGCGCATGCGGGAAGATTCCTCCGACTGAAGCGAGCGTTTTCCAAACCCGGTCTCTCAGAGAGACTTGTCACAGAAAATGTTCCCTGATTATGAAACTTTGGCTGAATAGCGCTTGTTCCTGTCTCCAATGTGGCGACACATCCAGGAGCCGTCTGAGGAGAATCCCAGAATCTCACATCCTCTTCAGCTCAGAAAGTGCCTATATGATTACGCACAAGCGTGACCCATCAACCCGATCTCACAGCAAGACCGGGTTGGAACTGTTCAGGTTTACGCAGACAATCTTTACATTTAGAATTAGCTTACAGGTGTAAAATTAATGCAGTAAAATATAAAGCTTTTTATTTAAATATCCATTCATTATTTTACAATCACAGAGAGCCGCATCAGATGCCGCGGGTTGCCGACCCCCGGGTTAACCTGACCAGAAATTATTGCAGACAAAAAATACTATAAACGGTTTAAAAATCTGAACTCTAGATTTAGAGACATGTATAGAATTAATTACATCGTTTTTTTGTTCCTCCTCCTCCTTCTTGCAGGTCAAAGCTGATGTGAAGAAGCGACTGAGGGAGGATCCTGACTTCAGTCCTCAGAAGTTTCCCAACGCCCACAGAGCCTTCTCCTCCGACCCCTGATCCCGACTGATCCCTGAACATTAAACCTGTTTTTCTCCGTCAGCTACATTCTTTGGATCTTTATTATAGAAGGAGAGAGCAGCTGAAGCTTGAACCTTCTGTCTGATGCTGCTGTTTTCAGCCAACAGAGAACCTCTCTGGAGGATTTTTACACAAACAGACCTTTGGTTTAGAACTCGTATTGCTGTAACAGGCAGCATAAGCCGAGTCAGCTGTTGGGTCTCCAAACAGAACCAGAGTGGTTCTGCGTTGGCTGAAAAGCTCCAGCTGCGCGTCCAGGTCGGAGTTAATTTATGTTCTGCTCCTGAAATGGTCTCCATACTGATTATTACTGATCAAAATAAACGCATCATGATGGTTCTGTGGGATTGCTAGTGCCACCTAGTGGCGGTGATGCATACGCACACCTAAACAGGGATTTTTTTTAACTTAAAATAATCTAAATTGAGTTTTTAATCAGAGTTCACAACAGCTTTAATAAAACTCTCCAGCCCAAATTCTGCTAAGAAATAAAATAATCTTCCTGTTTTTGTTCACAGGAGTTTAACATCGATGCTTCAAAACAACCTGAGTCCGGTTTTGGGTCTGAACACGTCGACTAGAGAATGTAGTTAACGGGAAGTTTGTTTTAATGACCGATGCTCCTCAGTTAACAGAAACAATAATCATCAGAGATCTGCTGCTTCTGCACCGCTAACACACAGTTTCTTGTTTTTATTTATTGCTTTGTGGTCCAACTCTTACAGAAAGAACCCTAAACGCTCCTAATTAAAGAGCTCTAATCACCAGATTTATGTTTCAGTCTGACTGTGTTTGAACTTTGGTGCTCCTCTTTTCCTCCGGTTTTCTTCTGGGGCCCAAATCTTCATCTTCCTGATCATCTTTCCTCTTCTTCCTCGATCACAGAAAACTTTCATGTGTTGTTTGGTACATGAATGTACAGCAAGCTTAATAAAGAAATACACACCAACCTCTGAGATTGCAGGTTATTTAAAGCTGGTTTAAGGTTGTGTGTGTGTGTGTGTCTTTATATGTGTAAGTGGACACCTTTTAACTTTAACCTGTACTGTGGGAACGTTTTGCTGGTCCACACGATGCTATGCACCCTAAAACTTTTAGTGGTACGGTGGGAACTAACTTTTACTTTAGGTTAGTTTAAGGAAAAGAACAGCATTGGTTATGGTTGTGGTACAGGTTGGGCATAGTGGAGTTACTTAAATGAATGGCGGTCCACACCAACATATAAGTACAATTATGGGTGTGTGTGTTCAAACGAAGGAAGTCATCCTGGATCCAGCCTATAACAAACTGCTGGGGTCATTTAAAGATGGCCACTACAGCTGATCATCAGAAACAGCACTAACTCCATGACGTTGCTGGTGTTTGAGAATCAATGGATGCCAAACACATTTAGTTCACTTTCGAATCATCTTCATAATTGTACAAAATTATAAGTTTGAATAACGGGTTCAGGTGTGGAACACTGAAAACGTTATTTTTTTAAAAAATAATTTGATTATCTCAGTTTTTCATGCAAGCCGAACATGAAAATGGTCTTCCGCAAATCTATTGCGTTAGCTTGTGGTAGAAAATAGATGGTGAAATGCTAGGCTTTGAAAATCCTCACATTGGGATGTCACACTGAATTTGCATTTATGGACTCGCTCATCTTGGCTCCAGCTGTTTTCAGCCCACCTCTGCACCAGCAAACGTCTGCATCTCAACAGGAGCATCAGCATTGATTTCCACTAGAGAATGCTGCAAATGCACTGAGTAAACTAGTTAACCACACCTTTAACCTTTTAAATATTTTTAGTTAAGTGAGCAAAGCAACTTCAACCACACCAACTTAAAGACAGTCCTCCCCAGATTCCACCAACATGTCTCCTGCCACACTAGAGGAGACAAGACTTTAGACCATGTTTATTCCAACTTGGCTGGAGCCTACAAATCAACACCCCTCCCCCACATCGGACAATCGGACCATCTCTCCCTGTTCCTCACACCTCGGTATTCACCACTCATCCAACGTGTGAAACCTGCTGTGAGGACAATTAAAGTGTGGTCAGAGGGGACAGACGCGGTGACCCAGGACAGATTTAAAAACACATACTGGAATATGTTCACCAACACAGACCTGGATCAGTACGCCTCATCTGTACTGGATTACATCTCCGTGACCACAGACAGTGTCACCACCCAGAAAAGGATCACCATGTACCCCAATCAGAAGCCTTGGATGAACCGGGATGTTCTTCTCCTACTGAAGGCCCGCAACACTGCTTTTAGGACAGGAGATGCACACGCCTACAGTACAGCCAGGGCTAATCTAAAGAAGGGCATCAAAAAAGCCAAACATCATTACAAAAAGAAGATAGAAGAACACTTCTCCAACTCCAACCCCCGACGCATGTGGCAAGGACTCCAGACCATCACAGACTACAGGATCACCAAACCCTCCCCCCCGCATCCTCTGATGTTTCCTTCCTCAACGAGCTCAGCAACTTTTATGCTCGTTTTGAGCGAGGGAACCTCACAACCACAACTATAACAGACATGACGCCAGACCACCAACCTCTGACTGTCTCCCCCACCGATGTACGAGCGGTGCTGAGCAGGATCAATGTCCACAAGGCTGCAGGTCCTGATGGCATCCCTGGGCGTGTTCTCAGAGTGTGTTCTGGGGAGCTCGCAGGAGTGCTCACAGACATATTCAATCTGTCCTTGGCCCATGCTGTGGTACCGGCCTACTTCAAATCCACCTCCATCGTCCCAATACCCAAAAACTCCAACCCATCTAGCCTCAATCAGTGCGTTTACATGCAGCCAGTAACCCTTTTAAAACCCGAATATTCACAATAACCCGGTTCCGCAGGTCCATGTAAACACCGCCAAAAACCAGGATATACTCATAACCGGGTTTTAAAAACCCGGTTACTACACCTGGGGTAACCCTTTTCTAACCCGAATGTTTGGTCACGTAAACGCATATCGGGATATTCCCATCAAAGCGTGTGTTCTAGGCATGCTCTGTTCGCAAAGAATCTTGGTCTTTTGAGTAGCGAGACATCTTGTATGCGCCAGAACTCCGGAAGTAAACAACAAGTTGGGAGCAACATGGCGAGTCGCGGCACAGCACCACACTTTTGGAGTGACGAGGAAACGAAAGCGCAAACAAACGCGGTCGCTATCTCTTCCGAACTGGGAAACATGTTGTTGTTTTTACGTATACCGGAACAAGAAGAACCGGAAATGACGCATATTGCGTCTGGACGTAGTCCATACGTCCTGACGCTACCCCAACGTCCGCATTTAATTTGGGTTATCCAAGTTAGGGGTAACTCTTTCTATTTATGCTTGTAAACGGGTTATTCTGATCAACTCAGAAACCCGAATACCGACCTTAACCCGATCATAACCCGGATATTGGCTGCATGTAAACGTAGTCAATGACTACCGCCCGGTAGCACTCAACCCCATCATCACTAAGTGCTTAGAGCAGCTGGTCTTAGCACACTTCAAATCCTGTCTCCCCCCCCCCCCCCCCCACCCTGGACCCCCACCAATTTGCATACCGCCAGAACAGCACAGAGAATGCAGTCTCCATTGCACTGCACTCTGTCCTCTCACACCTGGACAACACCAACACCTACGCCAGAATGCTGTTTATAGACTTCAGTTCAGCATTCAATACAATCCACCCCTCACAACTCATCAGGAAAATGACAGACCTGGGGATCATTTCCCTCACCTTCAAATGGTTACTGGACTTCCTGACCAACCGCCCTCAACATGTCCGACTGGATAGCCGCTGCTCATCAACAATCACAATGAACACTGGTGTACCACAAGGCTGTGTGATGAGCCCTTTCCTCTACTCCCTTTTCACCCACGACTGCAGACCTGCTGATGGTTCCAACACCATCATTAAGTTTGCAGATGACACCACGGTGATTGGCCTCATCAGTGACAACGATGAGACCGCCTACAGGGAGGAGGTGGACCGTCTGACTGAGTGGTGCGACACAAACAACCTGCTGCTCAACACTGAGAAGACTAAGGAGCTCATCGTGGACTACAGGAGGAATGCTGACCTACATCCACCCATCCACATTAAGGGGACAGCAGTAGAGCGTGTGAGCAGCTTCAAGTTCCTGGGAGTCCACATCTCCGAGGATCTCACCTGGACTACCAACTGCTTCAAGCTGGTCAAGAAGGCTCACCAGCGCCTCTTCTTCTTGAGGACTCTGAGGAAGAACAACCTGTCCTCAGACATCCTGGTGAACTTCTATCGCTGCACCATCGAGAGCATCCTGACCAACTGTATAACAGTCTGGTATGGGAACTGCTCCGCCTCGGACCGGAAGGCGTTGCAGAGGGTCGGGAAAACTGCCCAGCGCATCGCCAGAGCACCACTTCCTGCCATAAAGGACATCTACAGGAAGCGGTGTCTGAAAAGGGCTAGGAAAATCATCAGAGACCACAGTCACCCATCACATGCACTGATCACCCTGCTGCCCTCTGGGAGGCGCTACAGGAGCCTCCGGATTAAGACCACCAGGTGCCGGAACAGTTTCTTCCCAACAGCTGTCAGACTCCTGAACTCTGCCTCCTGACATATGACCCACGTTAAACTCATGGACTGCTTGTATTAACTACAGCCTGTATATACTTAGTCATAGAATATTCATAACATACTTAATACCATGTACATTATAACATATGTTATAGATCCATTTCTGTAATATACTTACACATCTATATTATTGCTAACATATATTGTAATACGTCTATATCACGGCTAAAGCATTTTCTGGATGGATGCAAACTGCATTTCGTTGCCCTGTACCTGTACAATAACAATAAAGTTAAATTCTATTCTATTCTATTCTATTCAAATACATTTTCTGATATTTTAAACTTTAAGAAAGCATTAAAACCCTAGAGATGACGAAAAACAGTTAAAACCAAAGTCAAACATCCTAAATACCGGTTTCCTGTTAGAGTAAAAAGGCTGAACACAAACACCTCCATGTTTGTTTGGTTAATCTGAACTAACAACTGACAAACACCTGAACTGACAGGTCAGACCGCCTCAGGAACCGGTTCCTACGTCAACATCCTGGTTCTGCCCCATAGTGTGAGCTCGGCATCATGACTGACACCTGACAATGACAGCTAAAAGCTTCTGATTCAGGTTCTACCCAAATCATTTTAAATAATTCACAATAAAAACAGGAAGTTGTGATTTAAACACCAACAGATGATTAATGCAAGCTTTAGTCTGGACCTGGTTCTCTGCTAGCCTGGCCTGCCCGACTCGTCCCCTGTTTAACAAATTCTGCACAGAAATTATTAAACAGAGGAGTCTGGCAGGCCAGGCTAGCTCTCTGCTGGACCCACCTGCAGACCCAGTCCAGGTGAAACCCGATCCCACAGCAGAGTCTCCAGCTCTGTCCAAGGGAACAAGCAGAGCCATTGGTGTCTGTCACCATGGCAACCAGAGTGAAAAGTAATCTTATCACTCTGACCAGGTTCTTGGTTTCTGTTCTGCTGAGCTCCATCCCACGCCCCCCCCCCCCACACACACACACACACACACCTGTTCATCATGTTTAATAAATCACAACATTCACATAAGTTACTTGAATGCAGAAATTAGTTTAATGTCAGGGTGAAACAAAAAGTTTTATATCAAAAAGATGTTTTATTAGAATAAACCGACTTAAATAAATAAAACTGAAAAATGTTTTAAATGTTTGGACTCAGACTGAAACAGGAAGAAAAAAAAAAGATTTTAAGTTTGATTCAGAGAAAGGCTCCGGGGTTCGATCGAGGATCCTTCAGGTTCCGGTACTTGTGAGTGAGCCAAACTCCCAGGATCTGAAAACAAAATTCCTGATTAGGATTTTCTGACAGGAGCTCAAAAGGATAAATGCTCAGATGTGACCTCTGACCTCTGTGAAGCTGAAGAAGAGTCCGATGCCTCCGACGAAGCGCAGCACCTCCCCGGCGTAGGTCTGCAGGATGGTGGAGCAGGTGATGCAGGAGGCCGGATTTCTGAAGCATTCCTGAGCAGGTGAGAGCAAACCTGGTTAGAATGGGGTCAGGGGTCAGAGTTCCGATCCAAACCCAGAAGTTTGACTCACAGCAGCACAGGAGCTGTTGAAGTCCACTGAAGAATATCCGCAGCAGTTCAGCGTTTTCTCCACGTCTCTCTGAGTCGACTCCGACTTGTTCCACCCGACCTCCAGTAGTTGGTTCTGGAGGTTAGAGACAGAAATCAGTGAGATCGGGTTTTGGCACCAGCAGAACACCACCAACCGCAGAACCCTGATCCAAGCCTGTAACATCACAGAACTGGGCATTGGGATCTGGTTCACTTCTTCCAATAGAGGTCTGGGATTCTGATCCATGTTTTCCTGGTTCTGGTCCAGCCCAGAGCAGTCAGCATCTCGCCTGGACAGAGTCAACACCAGGGTTCTAGATGTGGTTCTGAGGTATTGGACCTGCTCCTTGGTCCTCTAATGCTCCAGATTCCCTGAATGATTACTGATGCTCCATAAATCCCAGAAATCTGTCATTTTGATTATTTCCTATCAAACCTTTATTTTCAAATCTAATTTTCAATTGAACAAGTTTTACTCTTCTCTATGAGCTGCCATCTTACCGTTGTGGAGAGGTTTGAGTGTCCCAATGATCCTGCGAGCTAAGTTGCCTGAGGCTTTATGCCTCTTGTAGGGTCACCCATGGCAAACAGGTCCTAGGTGAGGGATCAGGAAGTGCAGCCCACAAACACCTTTTGATGAAAACAAATGGAAACCATGTTCCCTCACCCAGACGCAGGTTACCGGGCCCCCCTCTGGAGCCAGGCCTGGAGGTTGGGCCCGTCAGCAAATCCCTGGTGGCTGGGCTTTCACCCAAGGAGCCCAGCCGGTCACAGCCCGAAGAAGAATCGTGGGTCCCCCTTCCCATGGGCTCACCACTTGTGGGAGGGGCCAAAGGGATTGTGATTGTAGTATCCAAAGGCGGGGACCTCGGCAGTCTGACCTTTAACTACAGAAGCTGGCTCTTGGTAGGTGGAATGTCATTTCTCTGGTGTGAGGTTGAGAGGTTCAGATTAGATATAGTCTGACTGACTTTGATGCATGGCTCTGGCTCCGGAACCAGTTTCCTTGAGAGAGGCTGGACATGGTGGAGGTGGCCCAACTGAGAGGAACCGATCAGGGGTGGGCATACTAGTTGCCCCCCATCTTAGTACCTGTATGTTGGGGTTTACCCCGGTTAACGAGAAGGTAGCCTCCCTCCACCTACGTGTGAGGGAATGGGTTCTGACTGTGGTCTGTGCATATGTGCCAAACTACAGTTCAGACTACCCACCCTTTTTGGAGTCCTTGGAAGAGGTGCTGGAGAGCGCTCCTTCTGGTGACTCATTCTGCTGGGGGACTTTAACACTCACATGGGCAATGACAGTGAGACCTGGAGAGGTGTGGTGGGAAGGAACTGCCCCCCGATCTGAATCTGAGTGATTGTCCATAATAAACACCATGTGTCCATGTGTACTCTTGGCACCAGGATACCTTAGGCTACAGCTCAATGATCGACTTTGTTGACGTCTCATCTGATCTGCAGCCACATGTTTTGGACACTCGGCTCAAGAGAGGGGCAGAGTTGTCAACGAACCACTACCTGCTGGTGAGTTGACTACCATGGTGGGGGAGGATGCCGGTCAGACCTGGCAGGCCCAAACGTATTGTGAGGGTCTGCTGGGAACGTCTGGCGGCGTCTCCTGTCAGAAGAAATATCAATTACCACCTCTGACAGAACTTCCAAAAGGTTCCAGGGAACGCAGAGTCTGAGTGGGCCATGTTCCATGTTTTCATTGTCAAGATGGCCAACCGGAGCTGCAGTAGCAGGGTTGCTGGTGCCCGTCATGGCGGCAAACCTCAAACCCGCTGGTGGACACTGGCGGTTAGGGATGCCGTCAAGCTGAAGGAGGAGTCCTATCAGGTCTTTTTGACCTGTGAAACTCCAGAGGCAGCTGATGGGTACTGGCAGGCCAAGCGGAATGTGGCCTAGGTGGTCAGAGGTAAAACACTGTGCGTGGGAGGAGTTTGGTAAAACCAAAGAGCATGACTTTCGTATGGCTTCAAGGAGATTCTGGTCCATCATCTGACTTCTCAAGAGGGGAAAGCAGTGTGTTACCAACACTGTTTACAGAGGGGATGGTGTGCTGCTGACCTCGACTCGGGACGTTGTGGATTGGGGGGCAGAGTACTTTGAAGACCTCCACCATTCCACTGGCACGTCTTGCACGGAGGAAGCAGAATCCAGGTTCTTTGGGTTGGGCTCTCCAATCTCTGGTACTGAGGTGATCAAAAAGCTTGGTTGCAAGGCTCCGGGGGTGGATGAAATCGTCCCAGAATTCCTTAAGGCTCTGGATGTTGTAGGGTTGTGTTGGCTGACTCGGCTCTGCAATATCGTTTGGACATCGGGAGAAGTTCCACTGGTTTGGCAGACCAGGGCGGTGGTCCCTCTTTTTAGGAAGGTGGACGGCAGGATGTGTTCCACAGCTGGACCACACTCCTGAGCCTTCCTGTTAAAGTCTATTCAGGGTTTCAGGAGAGGAGGGTCAGACGGATGTCAAACCTAGGATTCAGGAGGAACAATGTGGTTTTCGTCCTGGCCGTGGAACACTGGACCAGCTCTTTACCCTTAAGGGGGTCCTGGAAGGTGCATGGGAGTTCGCCCAACCAATCTACATGTGTTTTGTGGATTTGGAGAAGACGTTCGACTGTGTCCCTAGGGAGGCCCTTAAAAAGGGGTACTCCAGAAGTATGGGATGCCCCCATTGTCAAGGTGTTTTTGGATCCGTTTTGGTGGTCTGAGGATCAGGTCTCTGCTTTTAGCAGATGATGTGGTCCTGTTGGCTTCATCAGACCGTGAAATCTGGCTCTCACTGGAGCGATTCACAGCAAAGTGTGAAGCAGCTGGAATATGAATCAGCTCCTCTAAACCCAAGACCATGGGCTTGAGTCGGAAAAGGGTAGAATGCCTTCTCTAGGTCAGGGACGAGGTCCTGTCCCAAGTGGAGGAGATAAAGTATCTCAGGGTCTTGTTCATGAGTGAGGGAAAGATGAAGCTTGAGATTGACAGGCGGAATGGTGTTGTGTCTGCAGGGATATGGGTGTTGTTGGCAAAGCTCTTGATTTACCAAAAGAATCCGATCATGGATACAAGCTGTCTTAATGAGTTTTCTCCACAGGGTGGCTGGGCTCTCCCTTAGAGATAGAGTGAGAAGCTTGGTCATCCGGGAGGGGCTCGGAGTAATCCCGCTGCTCCTCCACATCGAGAGGAGTCAGTGCTTGGCTTAGCTGCAGTCACCGGCCACTTTTTCAAACTTTTCTCCACTAACCTCCTCTTTTCCACCTTGCTCCTGTCTGTGATCCTCTTCAATATTGTCCTTGCTACCATCTCTTATGATCGCCAGACTCTTATCCTTCCGTTCGTTCACGATCGCCCAAGATGCACCGAGGACGTACCTCCCTGCCTCTCCTGACTCCAACCAGGCCCATCATCCTAGATAGCTTTACTCCTATTTCTTTGCCTGAGTTAACCAAACTAGTTAACTCTCTGAAGACCTCTGCATGCCCCCTCGACATCTTACCCTCATCTTTGTTTTAAAGTGCTTTTCAGTCCATCGGTCCCAGCGTGCTCTCTATAATTAATGCTTCTCTGGTTTCTGGTCATGTCCCTGCTTACTTTAAGAATGCTGTAATCCACCCGCTTCTTAAAAAACCAAGTCTCGACGCCTCTCTCCATAGCAGCTTCAGACCCATCTCTGAACTTCCGTTCATCTCCAAGATCCTGGAAAAGGTTGTGGCTAAACAACTCACAGCTGCTCTTGATGAACGTAACATCTATGATTGCTTACAGTCAGGTTTTCGTAGAGCTCATTCTACTGAAACAGCTCTTCTTAGGGTCTCTAATGACCTTCTGACTCACAGTGATGCAGGGGACTGTTCTGTTCTGGTCCTGCTGGACCTGACTGCAGCCTTTGACACTGTTGATCATCACCTGCTACTGGAGAGGCTGAGAGACTGGGTAGACCTATCAGGATCTGCTCTGGAGTGGTTCTCCTCTTTTCTCTCCGAGCGCTGCTTTTCTGTGGCCGTCTCCAAGTTTAGGTCCTCCACCACCTCTCTTACCCATGGTGTCCCACAAGGTTCTGTGCTGGGGCCTCTGCTCTTCCTTCTCTGCTTCCTCTTCAGCACTTCCTGAGCTCCTTCAAAGGAATCTCCTACCATCTTTATGCAGATGACATCCAACTGTACATCTCCTTTAAGCGCCATGAGATGTCTAAGCTGCAGCAATCAAAACCTGGATGGCTGGGAGCTTTCTTCAGCTGAATGAAGATAAGACTGAGATCCTCATCTGTGCCCCAGACAAGCTGGTTCCCAAGGTTCTCACACCAAACCTTCTGTCAGGAATCTTGGCATGACCTTTGACCCAGCTCTCACCCTGGATTCTCATGTCAGTTCTCTTGTTCGCTCTTCCTTCTTCCATCTCAGGAACATTGCTAAGCTGAGTCCCATTCTGCCCCGCTCTGAACTTGACTTATCCACACCTTCATCTCCTCACGCTTAGACTACTATAACTCTCTTTTCATGTGTCTGAGCAGAACCTCCCTGAACCGTCTGCAGGTGGTTCAGAATGTCTCTGCTCGGTTTCTGACTAAGTCCTCCAAACACACCCACATCTCCCCGCTTCTCCTCCAGCTTCATTGGCTGCTAGTCAACTTCGGGATTCATTTCAAGATCCTGGTTCTGGTCTATAGGACCTTACATGGACAAGCACCATCTTACATTGGTGATCTTCGTAGTCCCTACACCCCCAGCAGGTCCCTGAGGTCCAGTGATCAAAGCCTACTGGTTGTGCAGCGCACCAGACTAAAGACCAAAGGTGACAGATCATTTGCTGCTGTGGCCCCCAGACTCTGGAACTCTCTCCCCCTGAGCCTGAGATCAGTGGACTCAGTGGTCTCCTTTAAAAAGCAGCTGAAGACTCACCTGTTCAAAGTGGCTTTTGTATGACCTTCTTCACCACTCTCTTTATTCTGCTCTCCCCACCTATTCTACCTTCCTCAGGATCCACTGATTTCCCTCTTTCCTATTCACTCTCTCTTAACATTTTTTAATCACAATTGTCTATTTTGTGCTCATTTGAAATATATTTTTAATCATTTTCTAAATTCTTTTTTATATTTTTACATTTGTATTTGTGAAGCGCCTCGTGATTTTTATCTTGAGAGGCGCTATAGAAATGATATTTTCTTCTTCCTTTTCTTGAGGTGGCTCTGGCATTTGGTAAGGATGCCTCCTGGACGACTCCCTGGTGAGGTTTTCCGGGCACGCCCAACTGGGAGAAGACCTAAAGGAAGACCCAGGAGACGTCGGAGACACTATGTCTCTAGGCTGGCCAGAGAAGGCCTGCTTCCCCCGGAGGAGCTGGCCCAAGTGGCTGAGGGAAGTCTGGGCCTCTCTGCTTAGGCTGTCGCCCCCGCGACCCGACTCCGGATAAGCGGCCAAAAATGGATGGATGTTTTTTTATTTTTCAAACATTTAAATCTTAATTTGCTGCATTTTTAATAACTTTAAATCATAAACATAAACTTATGAAAATGTTGCAAATCAACCAACTAGAAGCTGATTCGCCGCCAGAAAGAAAATCTAAAACTTGCTAAGAAAATAATCTCACAGTTTGAAATAATATACAATGGAAAAGGGGATATTTTCCTAATATTTAGGAGCCTAATATTTCATTTAGGCTCCTATTGTCTTAAGAGATGATGGATGTTTAAACCTGGTTCTGAGTGAGGAGAAGCAGAAGTGAGCCCACCTGCTGGTCTTTGTTCAGAGCCAAACAGGCACAGGAGATGGAAAACTGCAGCACGAACACCAGGAACAGGATGATCATGTACTGACTCACGTTAAGGAACTTCACCACCCTGGAACTGATGATGATAATGATGTAACAGATCAGAAGGATACGAAGAATAGCAGGATCTGCTGGTGTTTCAGGGCTCCACAGAGACCCACAAAGGCCACGAGCAGCAGAAAGGCCCCCACACTAATGACTCCTGCCACCACACTGATGCTTGAGACCAGACCAAACCACTTCCCCCAGGCTGCCACACCGATCAGCAGCAGGCTCACCATCTGGGGGTGGGGAATTAAAAAAAACAACTAATTAAAGATATTTTCTTCATCTGTAATCTAATGAAAACTAATGAAAGAAGCTGCTAATCCAGCATCCATCCGCTGTGAGGTCATGTTGCCATGATGAAGATCCACTAAAACTTCAGTGATTTTCTGAAATCCTGCAAATGATATTAAATCCTGGTTTTGCTGTCCTGACGTGAATCTGATCCTGGCTGCAGGTCAAAATCCGATCAATTCATTTTTCAGGGATTTTTTAGCTTCTGTCTCCAGATTTTTAAACTTTGACCTTTTATTTTAACACTTAAAATCTAATTTGTTACAGAAACAAGATATCACATCGAATGTAGTTTAGAAATATTTTATTAAGCTGTTTTTTTCTTAAACCCGTTTTTATCTATGTGCTTCTTCAAGTTTATTATTTCCTTTGAAGGTTTGTGTGGCCTGCTGTTCTCTGAGGATCTGAGACCATGCTGCAGCTTTCAGATGCTCCTCTGCACCAGCAGATGGCTGATCTGAGGAGGTTCATTCATCCATTCATCTGAGCAAAGACACTTGAACAGGACCTCAGTTTAACTCTTTCATGCCCAAATAAGAGAAGAAAAGCTATTAAGTTTATTTTCAGCATTTTTCTTCATGGAGTGTGATATAAAAATACTAAAGTTAATATTTGAGGTTTTTTCCCCCCAAGTTGACATGTTTTAACTCTAAAATATGGACCGAATCTGTTATTCTGGCCTAAAAACAGATTTTATTTTCATTCTGAGCTCTTGTTTTATTTTCTTTCATTTTCTGAACGAAGATTTAACCGAGGAATGTTTTACATCCTTCTGACGTCAAAAAGCCCTTTATAGGATGAGATTAGACTCCGATGAAGGCAAAACAAAACACCCAGGAGGAAACCGGAAGTGGTGAAACATCCTAGGGAAGCTCCTGGATGTTTCTGATAAAAAAAGGTATTCTGCTTTTTAAATGTAAAGAGACTAAAAACAACATTTCACGAGTTTATTTTGCAGATGAACAATAATACAAGTTTAATTAAAAGGTTTAATTAATAATCCTTATTAAACAAGTTTCAGCTGATGAAGCAAAAGGTCAGACATATTTATTCACGCTAAAATCAGTTTAAAATGTTTTCTCCTGATTTTACCAACCTTTTTGTTCCTGTTCTAAGACAGAACGTTCACTCGCCTGAATCCTAATTGTTACATTAATTAGAGCCTTTAGGACCAAGTTCAGATTAAATTTACAATATTTAACATTCGTAGAAAATCTGAAGTTCTGGTTATTTAAAGTTGGTGAATTTAGTAAAAGCTGAAAAAGTCCTGAACTGCTTTAAAGTTAAACAATCCCAGAAAACCGGAAAAGACCTCGTGGAAGCAGCAGCTAATCAGTTAATCAAAGTCACCGGTTCTTTACAACAGTTTTTATAATTTATATAATAATAATAATAATAATATAAAATAAAACAGACAACTCAAACAGATCTGAAGTCAGGTTTCTGTTCTCCATGTGATATTCTCACTCCTTTCAGATAGATAAAATCTGGATTATTTGACTTACAACATAAATGATGTTGAGCGCAGAAAGTGCGTTCTTGGTGCAAATGAATCCTCCGCAAACCATCGCTGCTGTGCGGGAAGTTTTCTCTCAGAAAGGCTGAAAAACCGAGTTCGAGTTCCGCAGCAGTTCGGGTTCCTTCTGAATCCTGGAGGAGACCCGGACCGCATTTCCTGGAGCTCAAACTGCGCGCTGATTGGTCGGTTGAGTATCAGGATGACTCACCTGTTGGTCACGTTGGTAATTAGCTGCTGCAGCCAGCGTCACATGAACTCTGATCAGTTAATGGTTAAACCAACAGAGAGCGGAACCAGACTCAAAGATTGAAAGAATCAATAAGATTTTCAAATTAAAAATGTTTTTATCGGGAGCATAGTACTACTACTACTACTACTACTACTACTACTACTACTACTACTACTACTACTACTACTAATAATAATAATAATAATAATAATAATAATAATTTGAATGAGAATAAACATTTATTCAAGTTGCAGGTTTGATAAGTTTGAATGATCTTAATCTTTGTTTTGTTTAATGTTTTTATATTTTCTGTGTTGTTTTCATGAGTTAAATCATTAAAATTAGTTTTTGCTGCCAGTTTTGATTGCTGATCTAAAGGTAATTAAGCCTAAAATAAAACTGTCCTGCAGGGGACGCTGATCACAGTCTAGTCTAAGAAAGAGGGTAAGGAATGTGTTTGGCATCATCTGGTGGGCACAACTGGAATAGAAAAATGAGAAATGCAGAACCCAACACACAAATCTGAATTTATTCTTGTTTATAAGACAGAAATAAGGAAATAAAAACTTGTGATAATATAGCTGATAATATATGAATGTAAAGCAAAAAACAAATTATGAATTACATAATATATGATTCTATACTGCACAATATACTACTATTAAATACTATACATATAACTAAATTATTCAAAAATTATAGATAGATAGATAGATAGATAGATAGATAGATAGATAGGGTTAGGGGTTTAAAGTGACATGAGAGAAAAAAGAGCAGAAAATTGTGAAGAAACAAAAACACATGGAGAAACTCTGGAGTTTTTAAAGGAAGGTCAGAGGTTCAGTTTGTTCATCACAGATGAGAGAGGATCATTATCGTAACGTTGTCGTTTTGAAATGACATCATGTCGCTTTTTAAGGTGGTTTTTAACCTCCTTATGACTGAAAATGTTCAGTTTCATAAGGAGGAAACAGATAAAACGGAAGTAAAATCCAGAAAGAGATGAAATGCAAACATTATTTAGTCTCTTCTAACAGAGATCTGTTTTGATCACTGTTCTCTGCCTAACTGGAGCTGATCAGAACATCTCGCTCACAGATAAATTTGTTCAGAAACACAGGATCTGATGGTGTCCAGTTTTCTTTGGGGTCCCTGCCAGGGATCAGTAGAACATGTAGACCCATTGGATCAAAGTTCTCTTCCATCCAGAACCTTCAAAACATGAACATCAAGAGAACAAGTGAACTGCTGCTGAGATTTTATAATAATATAAATAATAAACTGATTTTGTACAGGAAATTAGTTCATATAAAAATAGATCTAAATGCATTCTGGGTAAAGAGGTGATTTAAAATGTCACAATATGTCACTAAACATGATCTTTTACCTGAGAGTATCGTTCCGCCCATCAACCCAGACCCAGTCGTTGTTGACTTTCTCTAATCCCAACCAGAATCCATGATAACTGTCAAAGTAGAACCTGGCTTTGTTACTGATGAATTCCTGTAAATCAGAGGTCTTCATGAACATGTTACATGTCGACTCTTCAAGGTTAAAGTTATAATCCCGGACTTTACCTGCTCCTGCAGATTATCAACAACCACCAGATCAGCAGCTTTATTCTGGCAGAACTTCCTGCTCTGATCCCAGCTCTTCCAGGGAGGATTTTCATCATAAAACAGGAAGCACTTTGTCTCAAACTGAACCCAGCCGGTTGGACACGGCTGACACTCTGAGTTCATCAGACAGACAAGAAAAGTCGGGATCTTTAGTTCTGTTGTAGTTTAGAGACCAGCTCCACCTATTAAAACTTTTAAAGCTAAGAAACTGTGTACCACAGGGATCCATCTCTGGTCCTCCTAAAACATTCCCCGTCATTTTCCATTATCAACTTTAAAGACCAAATTCACTCATTTCTTTCCCTACACATTTTAAGTGGCCTCTAGTATAAATGAATGCCTTTTCACTGAATCTTTGTGGGAATAACACTTAGCGGTTTAGTGAGAGAAAGCAGGCTTTGGAGTCTTATTTCCTGTTATTCTGATATCTTACCTCTGATTGGCTGACATCAATTAATCTCTACCACTGACTCTGTTTACTTTGCAACATTGATTTTTTTATCTCCACAAATAACCCAAGTCTGAAGTAGTTTTGCTGTGTGGTGGAGTTGCTAATGCTAAAAGTTAGCTTCTACAAGTCAAGATGTTCTCTGAGAAGTACAAATAGAGTACAGAGCAGTACATTGTTGAGTTAATGATACCATCAATGAAATGCAGCTTCCCAACAACAGCAGCATTCATGCAGTCCCACATAAGGACACCACCACCACCATGCTTCACTGTAGACATTTTGCATTTCTCTTAGAAAACCTTGAATCACTTTTGCTACAGTATTTAGACTGATGTGTAAAGCTTTGCTGGTCTTCTTGTAGCCCTCACCTTTTTCTGTAAACAAATGATTTCCTTTCTCAGAGTTAGTGACATTTCTCTTCCATGTGGAGCCATTGCTGACAGCATGAAATGGGAAGGGCTCTTCCTTGTTAAGTAATGCCTTTTGCTGACACCTCTTAAATGAACCATTAGACTCACCTGTGGTTGAATGCCTGTTAATTCAAAATTTGTAGTCTTAAGTGTGGTTTTTCTGCTAAGACTATAATTGGGGTGTACTCATTTTTGCAACATGGGCTTGAATGGATATTTTCGGAAAATCACTTTTTTGTGTACAAATGAACAAATCAATGACCCACATTTGTGGGAGTATTTTGTAGCATGGTATATCATAGAAAATGTTGATTCTGAAAGGAAACTAAAGGTTTTCTGACAAATGTAGCGGGGTGTACTCATTTCTGCAGAGCACTGTATATATTCAGCCTTGCCAGGCCTAGCTTTTGCCTGCGTCATCAGAGTGTAGTAACTGAGGATGCAGCATCTCTGTGACTAAACTTTGATGTTATGTTCTGTACTGGATCCAAAAGAAGCAGAGCTCACTCTTGTTGGGACAGAAGTCTTTCACTGGGAAGTTGTCGAAGGTCAGGATGACTCCCAGCATTCGATTCAGATTCTCTCTGGTTCTGTTCAGTTCCTGGGTCTGGTTCTGCAGGGTTCTCTTCTCCACCATCAGCTGCTGGTTCACTGCAGTGAGGGTTCTCAGGTCGGCCTGCTGTTTCTTCATCTCCACGCCAACTAGAAAAAGAACAGAGGAGTTTGTTATTCGCTCCGTCGTTAAGAACATTTAAAAATATTAGATCAGACAAGCCAAGATTCTTAATTTAGAAAACAAAGCTCAAGATTTTTATTTGTAAAAGGAATTCATGCCACAATTGATTATTTTCTAAAAGTTGTACATTTTTATTTTATTGTATTCAAACACAAATATATAAAATGTACCAAACTTCAAATCATTTATAAAAAGTCTCTAGAGTCACCAACTTGCAGAACAGTTTTTTACAAATAAGAAATGTTCAACAAAAGGTAATCATTTAAATTTTACAACCACATTTAATTATTATTAAACATTTCTATTGGAATTAACAAATACATTTTGAATTTAACTAGATTTAATATAAGCATGTCTTATTGAAAACGAATACTACAACTACTAATTATAATAATAATAATACCTATTAACTATTTAAAATGCCCTAAATTATTTTATTGTATTACTATTACCATATATAAATGAGCAAATAAAATTTTCTCTAATGAATTTATAAAAAGGAGTATCCATCTTTCTACATTTTCAATAAATTAAACACAAAATACTTTTTGTGTGAAAATGATTGTAAAAACATTTGTTATTGTTCAATATTCCATGTTGCTGTGATGAAACTCACTGTAAATGATGGCGGCAATGCTGCCGACCAAGAGGAAGAAGAGGATCATCAAACACACCCGTAACAGGTGAGGCCGGAGCACTGCTTCAGCTTCAACACCAAACAGCATCATGTTATAACACATCCTTGATTTTCATCTCTTCCTTCAGAAAAATGGAAAATCCTTTTATAATTTAAAATTTCAATAATATTTAATAACTCACTTGGTTCAGTCAGAACGACCTCCGTTTTTCCACGTTTCACTTCGGAATAAATTGTTTCTTCTTTCTCTAAAAGACAGAAAACATATTAGATTAATGAATGAATATATGTACAGAGTCATGTGATAAACGAGAATCAGGATTTAAAAAACTCACAACTGAGAGAACATCTAACAGCTGCACTGTAAAAAATAGCTGTATATTTAACAAGATTCCAGATCAAAATCATTCTATCGTCATTGCACAGGTGTACAACGAAACTGACCTTACGCTCTCTCTCTCTCTCTCTCTCTCTCTCTCTCTCTCTCTCTCTCTCTCTCTCTCTCTCTCTCTCTCTCACACACACACACACACACACACACACACACACACACACACACACACACACACACACACACACACACACACGCTCACATGCACACACACATATATACGCACACACATATCTTCCACACACACACACATCCAGTTTAAGGTATAAAAAATGTAAAGGTAAAAATGTAAACACGGTAATAGGCAAGACTAAATCTTTAAACTGAAAGTAAACATAATATAAATGTAAACAACCACATGTTGAGGTATCAGGATTAACTAGCTTAACCCTCTCACTGTCCTAATGGGTGTGATCCCTCTAGGAAAGTTGACCATTAAGCGAGTTGATGGTTTATCCCTTGAGGTCCATGTGGCAGGGGTGAGGAGTGAGCACCACCTCACCCCTGCCACATGGACCTCAAGGGATAAACCATCAATCCTGCTCAGTGGTCAACTTTCCTAGAGGGATCACACCCATTAGGACAGTGAGAGGGTTAATGTAAAGGTGCAGTAGTGCACTAACTGTCCAGCAGAATCACTCTTAGTGTGACCTCCTAGCAGCAACATTCAGTTCAGTGATGGCTCTTGCATAGAGGCTGACAACAGCCTGGTGGCATGTTTGTATTGCCCTGTATCGTTTACCAGATGGAAGAAGTTTGAAGATATGGTTAGAAGGGTGGGTTGAGTCCTTCAGGATGTTTGTGCCTTCTCGAAGGCTGGGAGTGGTGAAGATGTCATCCAGGGCAGGCAGGTGTGTGTTTGTTATCTTCTCTGCAGTTTTGATTACTTTCTGCAGGGTCTTTCTGTCAGCTGCAGAGCGGCTGCTGTACCACACCATGATGCTGTTGGTCAGGACTCTCTCTATGGAGCAGCGATAAAACCACACCAGCAGTTTTTGTGCAGGTTGATCTTCGTTGAAGCCCTCAGGAAGTATAGCTTTTGTTGTGCCTTCTTTATCTGACATTTGGTGTTGTGTGTCCATGTGAGGTCCTCTGATATGGTTGTGCCCAGGAACTTGAACTGTGACACCATCTCCACCTGCTCTCTATTTATTGACAGTGACGGGTGCTCTACCTTTTCTTTCTTGGGTCAATGATGATTTCTTTGGCTTTGCTGGTGTTCAGGGTCAGGTTGTTATCTGTACACCAGTCCACCAGCTGCTGCACTTCTTCCCTGTACGGTGGCTCATTTCCCTGGCTGATTAGGCCCACCACGTCATCAAACCTGATGATAGCGTTAGCGTTGTGGGTGGATGCACGTGTGTGTACAGGGAGTACAGAAAGGGCTTCAGACAGGCAGCTGGAGGACTCAGACAGATGTGATGTGCTGCAGCACTAGTCTTTTCATCCACTTCATAATGAGAGGTTTTAAAGCTACATGCCTGTAGTCGTTGTGGCATGTTATTGCAGAATTTTTGGGTATCTGTACTATTGTGGAGGTTTTTAGACAGGTGGGGACAGAGCACTGGGACAGCGACATGTTGAAGATGTCAGTGAGGACGTAACACCCTTCCTGGAATGCCATCTGGACCTGTTGCTTTCCTTGTGTTGACACCTCTGAGTATACGCTGTACCTCAGCGGTCGGCAGGATTAGCACCTGGCTGTTGCTTGTTGGTGTTGAAGCAGGAGTCATAGTTCCAGCAGTCGTCACCTCATGGTGGCCAAATAAACTGTTGAGCTCTTCAGTCAGTATGGCATAGTTGTTGGATGTTGAGTTGGTGCTGGTCTGATCTGTGGTGTGCCAAATCCCTTGCCATGCATATTGTGGGTCTGAGTTGTCAAAGTGGCTCTAGATCCTTCTCCTGTAAGCCACCTTGGCTTCTCTGATGTCCTTCTTCAGCTCTGACCAGGCAGTGCTGTATTGTTGAGCATCGCCAGACCTGAAAGCCTTGAGCAGGAACCTGACGTCTTTGGTCATCCATAGCTTGCTGTTGGGGAAGGTGCAGATTGTTTTTGTTGTTGTAACAGTATCTGTGCAATGTATTATATAAGAAAGAACCGTAGAAGTGTACGTCTCTATGTTTTCATCTTTAAAAATGGACCAGATGGTACCATCAAAGCAGTCTTGTAACTGTTCTGATGGTCCTTCTGGCCACAGCTGAATCACTCTGGTCTCTGGTTTCCCTTTTCTAAAGAGTGGTCTGTATGCTGGAGTTAAGAAAAGGGAGATGTGGTCGGACTAGGTGGGGGAGGGATGTTGCTTTAAAACCTTGCTGCTGTAAACATGATGAAGTCCATTTCACATCTTGTGGGGAACTGCACATGCTGATATAATTTGGGGAGTACAGTTTTGAGATTTGCCTTGTTAAAATCACCAGCAACTACAAACTGTGATAAACCGTAAAACCATGACAGGAAAAACTTGTCAACTATAAAAAAAACATTGATTTGACATGAAGTGGCCACAAACAATTTAATTGGTGAAAAGAGTAATTTGTACATATTTTCTTTGTACAAAATACAAAATTCTACTGTAAAGCACTTTTGCATAATTTTTTTTAATGGAAAATTCCTTAAAGTTTATAACAGTAAAACGCCACGATTTTTACATTTATTTATTGAAAAAAATAACACAGCTTTTAATTGCTGGTAATGGTGTAAGGCGTTTACTTCCTTTTCCCCATTGCGCTTAGCGACATTTAGGTGAGGTCTGTTCAGGCACCTGCTGTACCCATCGAAGAAGAAGTGAAGGCTGTTCAACATAACACTTTTGACTGCTACAATTTCACACACAAGCACAGTTGAAAGACATGAACAGCATTTAAGCGGGCAAAGCTATTATGACCTTAATGGCAGTTTTTTTGGTTTTTCATTCTATCAATTGAACAGTGAAAGGTGATTGAGAAAAACCCTTTAATTTTGCTTTTAGTGGGAAAAATGTTGTTTTTAGTGGCACAAATTTTATTTGATAGATTATTTACATGTTCATTTTATGGTAAAACAATGTTTTTTTTCCTTAAGTAAAAACAGTTTCTTCTACAGTAAAATACTGACTTCAGTACCATTTTTAACCATAAAAACAACAATAAAAGTACCTTCTTACAGTAAAAGGGGAAAAAAAGAGTTTTGCCCAAAATTTGGCGGTACCATTCTGGCAACCCCGGCTGCTGGATTTTTATAGTAAAATTTGTTTATTTTTTATTTTTTTACAGTGTAGATAATGAAACATCTGCATACACAAATAGAATCAATTTCCCAAACAGAATTTTACAACAGTTTTAATTAGTTTTTCTGACCTGAAATAACATCAGGGGTTTTATTTTACTCATTAAAGACGATAAATAGTCTCTGCAGGACTCACCTACCTTCTGAACAAGGTTTTCCTTTTTTAATAACAACAGCAGAATAACATATTTCTTCCTCCATCCTGGTATCCGTGTCTGTGAGCTGAGGCTCCACTAGTTCCTCTGTGATTTTTTTTACTCAAACCGTCTGTTTCTGCTGCTTCTGTCACAAACTCATGGTGACACAACAAACCACCAAGCCAGACCAAGGCGTTGTCTCAATAAAGGAAACACATTTAGTGGCTCAACCAAAAAAGAAAAAAAAATGCTGTTATTTCTAGTATCCAGTAATGGCAATAATTCTTTGATTTTATACTGTATTTATGTAATTTTTCCAGTTTATAGTTTATTTTGTGAAGTGCTAATTTATTTCAGTTATTTAGTTTTATTTATAAATTATTAGACACACATTTAATTATGTTCAAGTCTATTTAAGAATTTTGTATTCTAGTAATTTATAGAATATTTAGTAAGGTCCTTTTAGAGGGGGACCACGTTTTCTTGAATGTTTTTCATTTAAAAGAGTAACACAATAGTTAATTTTCCTGGTAATTAGTTACTTTTATAATATTGTGACTCAGTTACAATTTTGAAGATGTCATTAGTGACTAGAACTAATACATTTTTTAAGTAACTTGCCCAACACTGCCAAGCACACACTGATGGTCTTGTCTGTCAGCAGAAAAGACTAAATAAAGCACAGATTTAAAGCTTTTCCTGGCACAGACTTTACCAGGAAACTAAATGAAAAACAAAAACATATTGTTAGGTCTCACATGGGTCGCACTTAGGAAACCCTAGCTAAGGTGTATATCACTCTTGCTGATCTGAATACTTGGTTTTCATACTGTTTTACATAATGAGGAAGTCAAGTGGGATTATTCCTGAAGAACTGGAGCAGATAGAAGAATCTGCTCAGAGACAGCCTGGCGAAGGAAGAACTGGACAAAAGTTTGGATCTGTGAATAATCTAATAAGATCCTACAAACATCAAGTAAGTTTTTGGATTTCTTTCATCACCTTGGTTTTTAAATGTTCTAAATGATGCAATGATCCATTTTTACTCCTCAAAAACTTCAGCTGGATGATATGAATCAGGATTATCTAATTGACACAGAAGATGCAGTGATGTTTATAAATCTTCTTTTCACTTCTAAGGAATTTTGTTGGATCGCTCATGAAACATCAAGCAATCATGAAAAGCATCCTAAAACTCTTGTTTCTAACAGGTCAGTGTCTCTCCAAACCTACCTTAAGTGTCAAAAATCAACCCCTTACCCTCTCATTTGACCAATTCTGAATACTTTACCCACACAAATATGTTTGAATACAGTTATAAAAATAAAGGCTGAAACTGTTGTGCTGCAGGATTGTGCTCCCTGTCTATCTATGGGTACAGACACTTGTACTTCTTATTCCAAACTCCAAAAACCTGGACAGAGGCACAGAGCTACTGCAGAGAGAAATGCATCGACTTAGCCACCATGGAGGACATGAATGTGGTTCTTAACTATGTTGGAGACAGTTACAGTGAAGCTGTATGGATCGGGCTGCAGAAAGGGAGCAACCCAAGGTGGATCTGGTCTCTGGCAGACAAGGATCTCTACAAGGAGGGAGAAAAAACTTATTTTAAATGGGGCTTAGAATCTTCCAGTTACTGTGTAACTTTAAGAGACGGCCTTCTCTACGTGGACATCTGTATAAATAACATGGAGTCAGTCTGCTTTGATCGTGAGTTACTTGCTGTTTCTTATGTTTTTATTTTAGGTGGCAGACAGTTTTTGCATGTTCCAAAAACTTAATATTAACTTTTTGGTTTTGACCAAATTACAGTTTGATATAACAACACGTTTCTATGTAGCTTTGGACAGGATCTTCCCGCAGTGATATAAACTGTGATTTTTTCCTTCTTAGAAACCAAACAAGGAGTAGATCAGTACAGCCTCTCGGAGAAAATGGTTTGGACCGCTGCTCGGGATTTCTGCAGACAAAACCAAACAGATCTGGCCAGTTTAAGGAATGATGCAGAATACCAGATGGTCCAGGGGGTAACCAATGGGGTGACAGCATATGTGGGGCTCTTCAGAGACATCTGGGTGTGGTTAGATCTGTCAGACTCTTGGTTTAGGTTCTGGAGACGAAGCCAACCGGTTAATATTCAAAATGCTCTAAACTGCGTTGCAATGCTGAAAAAGGAATCTGGTAAATGGGGAGACAGGAATTGTACAGAAACTCATCCGTTCCTCTGCAAATGCAGTGAGTAACAATTAGAACCAGTTAATGTTCATGTTAATGTGCATCATGAAGATGGAGTCTTTATTTATGGCTTTATTTTGGTTCCTAGATAAAAGTCAACAACATTATATCAAACTGAGGATCAGCTCACTGGACTCAACGTTGGATCTAAACGACCCGAAAATGAAAAACAGTATTCTGGAACAGGTGAGGCCATAAGATTTAGTTTTTGCTCACAAGGTAACATTTTTCTTCTCGTAATAAAAACCTGAATTCTGTCTTCATTGCAGATGCAGAATAAGCTGAGTGAGAAAATTTCTGGAGTTGTTCGTCTGCAGTGGAGAAACCACTCTGATGGTCAAGTTTTCAGCAGGGACTCTGATGGGAACGACCCGTGAGAGGAAAACAGGACTCGTGCTTTTCACAAAACACAAAGTTTAGTCTGACATCATTTAAAATTTATATTTAGAACAGAAATGTTCGCTGGTTACATTCTAGCTAAATGACGCATGGCTCAATGGGAAACAAAAAAATTATTAAATAATATGTTTCAGCTTATGTAATGATGTCACTGAATGCTCATTATTAGTAGAAATCTGTCAATCAGGACTAAACCAGGTATTGTTAACTAAATTTTGTGGTGCATGAATAGTTTTCATAGAAAGGAAAGCTAATGTGTTTTAAGTTTTCTTTATTACAGTCATCTGAACTTGTTAAATTCATGATCACATGAATTTAATGGTTTTTAAGTGTCTTAATGGTCTTGAGCCTTCTTATCTCTCAGAACTGCTTTTACCATATGAACCCTCACGGCCTCTGCAGTCCTCTGGCAGGCGTCTCCTGGTCATCCCTAAAGTCGGGACACATAATCACGGCGAGGCATCCTTCCATTATGGCCCTCGCCTCTGGAACGAGCTGCCGAAGAACCTTAGGGCCGCAGAGAAGGTTCATGATTTTAAGAACAGGCTCAAGACCCACCTGTTTAGGTTAGCTTTTATCTAATTATTTATTATAGTTTTATTTCTTGTTTTACATGATTACATTTTATTGTTTGCTGTGCATGTTTTACACAATAATATTTTAGCATTGTTTCATCATTTAATTGTATTATTATTTTACTGTCTCTATGATTTAAATCATTATTTATTTTCTTACTGTTATCTTTTATATTAGCTCTTTTATTTTATATTTTTTACTCATTTTAGTCCAGTGTTTGCTCTGTGGGGGCCCTCTGCCCTGGAAGCTGTGGTTGACTGTTACTGCCTGGGCGCTCTACAGGTAGTGCTTGAGTGGTGGTGGGGTCTGTGCTCTCCCTCCTCTGGGGCACCCTGGCTTGGTTGCTGTGGTTGACCTGATGCTGTCGGGGCAGACGGCTCCTTTGATGGCATTTCCTTGCCTACCTTACTTGACTCATCTGAACTCAGCAAAATATAAAAATATAATTTTTACTGATGTTATTGGGTGTGTGTGTGTGTGTGTGTGTGTGTGTGTGTGTGTGTGTGTGTGTGTATGACTTATTACTTTTAAACTGTAAAGGGAATTTAGGGTCATTTTAATTCTGTAAAGCTTTTTGAGTCACACATTTGTTTGTAAAGCACTTGAAAAATAAAGTCTGATTGATTTAAAATTTTCTTGAAATGAAATGTTCGTCATTGCCTCATAATGATGTTTAATTTTCTTATGTTGTGCATTTGTCTATAATTTATTTACAATACACCACAAACCAGTTTGAACTTGTTTGCGAATTGTACCGGAGATGAACAAAGCTGCTTTGTATTCTGGGGGAGAAATCTTTTCATAATTAGGAGGAAAAACAAATTGCTTCGGTGGTTGTAACGTCACTCTGACGGTCAACAATAATAAGTAAAAAACCCACGGAGTTCGGAAACAGAATCTTTATTCAGCCATGTTCTGAATATGACGCTAGCCAGTTTTGTGGTGCGTTCAAGCGCTCCCACTACATAGGAAATCTCATACAGAACATCTCCCCTTTTTACAAAACACAGTAGTATTTATTCCAACAACATCCTTCTGGTTATCATTTAACTTACTACTTGGGAACCTTTAACAAACACATTTTCAATAAAATGTTACCAAACTCCGAACCAAAGTCGCCTGAGTGCATTCTTTATACATAGTGCAACCTTTACAGAACCATTTTGATGAACCGAATTAACATTTACACTCCTCTCATTTAGATCTCCAACAGCGTAGACAATGACATTCACATTTTCTTTGAACCTTTCACAGACCAAGTTTAGTCGATGGTGTGATCACTCTGCCTGAATGAGTAACTGTTTGATGATATAGATCTTCGCCCCCCCTCCCCCTGCCACACCTGGTGTGAGGGGTTGTGCCTTGGTCTGCCTGAGTGTTCGTGGCAACTGGGTCTGGGGGTTTAAGATTTTGGCATCTGCCTGATAGATCCCGGTGGCTGCCTGGTGGGGTCTGGGTCCCTGGGCTCTGCTGGGTCCCCGGCGGGGGTGGTCGCCCCTGGGTCCCGGGTCGCTGGGTCCCGGGCTCGGCCGGCTAGGGGGTGGGAGGCTGCGGGCGGGCCTGTGGGCTTGCCGCTGATGTCTCCCGGGACTCTGCCGGCTGTGGCCCCCCCGGGCGATCCTTTGTGCCTCTCGAGGGGGGCGGGGGCCTTTCTGATTGCAGTCTCCTTGGGGTTCCTGTGTTCTGGGGCAGCGCCTGGATCTCTGGGACTTGGAGCTCCCCCCGTCTCCTGCACATCTTTGGGGGGCAGATCTGTGGTCCCTCACACTCGCTATTGGACGCTCCTATAGAGAAACCTTACATAAACAAGCGCGTGTACACACACAGGTGCTCACATGGTGCTCGCAAAAGTATGGGCTTGGGCACGTTCAACACAGGTCTTAAGACTATGGTGGGCACTTAATGCACTGTGATTTATTATTGTGATTCTTCAGT